GTTTGGCGGCGGGTTTAAAAGGTGACGCAGCAGTAGCTAAAGAGGTAGAGGGTTACACTCCATGCCATAGTAAAACAGAGGGCGAGGGCCAGGCAGGCTGCGTTATAGGACCGCGAGGACTCATGAAAAGTGAACAATTGGCCCTGCTCTGAGGCGACCGCACAAGACGCTGCCTGCCTTCCACTGGCCATGTCCTCCCAGCTCTCCCATCGCCGTTAAACTAAGTGGACTTTTATGGATGAGCTGTAATACATGCCTCTGTGAATCACCAGTGGTTTTCTATGAGCTATAATAATGATACAGCGAATATGAGAACCCTCTTAATTGCAAGTGTCGGATGAATACAAGTCTTTTCATAATTACTACGTCTCCACAGTAGCAATGGTGCGTTGGTCTTGGGTTTATATTCAAACTCGTAGCTACAGCAATGAACTGTGACGTGGAAAAGTGAGTTCTGTGCAAGACTGCTTGAGTAAACAGCATCCACGTCTTAAATCATTCAATTATGTAATATTTTTCACCACAAAAAAGAGATTTACAAAGAGAAATTATGGAAAAAGTAATGCTGATAGTTCACTAACATAGAAAATATATGGCTGTGGGTTCAGATCAATCGATTATTTATCCAGTCCTGTGTCAGCACAGATCCTTCCAGGAATTCCTCCATATCAATGTTGTGGAGCAGCGCAGGACTAAAGTGAGGTCTGAGCTGATGAGGGTTCCAGGCTACGCTCAGGTCAGGTGGCTAAGCTGTGTTGTGCAATTCAAATGGCCCATGACTTACCACACAAGAAGGTATTCCACACTGATCATCTACTGCATGTGCAACAATATTTGCTTTATGGATGGCTAAAATGAATGAGGACTTTCCATGTTTCTGCAGGCTGTAGAGTCAAGAGGGATGACATGTGATGAAACTACTGATAGTTAATGTAATCTAAAATATACAAAATTTAGGATTTTACAAGATTTCAGATTTCAAACAACACTCATGCACATGCTAGTAGGATGTGCAGCATGGTTCCATAACAAATGAATGCACATCGGGATGAGCAATTGCTGAATGCTAGAATAAGAATGAAAAAAAGAACTTCCAGTGGAGAAGTGCGTAATTTCAAGCAATTACAGTTTTACGTTTTCATCCCTCTATTGCCTTAATGGAACCTAATTCTGCACTTCCTATTTTCCAGTTGAATACAGTCAGTGCGGTCAGTGAGACAATTTGATACACATATCTATTCTGACCTCCTACCTATAATAAACCATGTGGGGATACAGGAAACATTGTATTTGGTGTAAACTGTAAACATTCCCCGTCTTTTGTGAGGCGTACGCTGAGTCTTACTGCAGCTCAATACTGTATATATAATGTTTTACAATGTCTAACTTGTGGTTGAGGTCCTCATGGTGCTACACAGACAGTGCTGACGTGTTCATCCCTCCTATCTGGGGAGGGCTGAGGTGCAGCCGTAAGAGTACTGGGCTTTTGTCCCACCACATGTCTATTGTGGCTAAACCTTTCCCTTGGGGGCAATTAGGACCTTTTAGTTTGTTGTAAGAGGACCTAAGTACGAGTGGGTTGAGCCAGGAAAAACATTTTTGAGCTAAACCAAAAACAGAAGCGCATTGAGCTCCTCTGCACTCCTGGACTTCTGAACATCTCTCTATTAAGAAATGTGCAGCCTACACTGAACAGACAGGAACTGTGGCAGCTTTACAGGGGCATGGAGGTGACGGGGGTGAGAGGCAGGGAGGGGAACGCGTCAGCCCCACCTGGACTGTGCCAAGAGAGCAAAAAAATAAAGGCCAACAATGTTGGTGGCAAGGACACACTTAAAAAAAGAAAGAGTAAAAGGTAATCCATGCTCTGTGTCAGCTTTCAAATGTGAACCCATGCAGAGTATACAGAGCAACGATATGAGGTTAGATGTGCTGTAACGTACAGTACAGCCAAACACATGCATGCTGTTTAAAACAACAGAGGCACGGCCAATAAAAAGACATTACTGAATGTAAAGACCCAAAGTGTTAGCCTACATGTTTCAGAGATAAGCATTCAGAACGCGCATAAGTATGTGATTGAAAACACCTCTGTTTACCCCGTACTGAAAATACATTTTTAAGCAAGTCTGGAGATGGTTCACAATAGAGGTATAAAGAAAAGGGTCAAAGGAGAAAAAAAGAAAACCAGGTACAACTTCATTGGCACAGACAGTTGACATGTAGAGACCTTATCTGCACAAGGCCCGAGATGTTTCTCATGGCAGGGCTGAGTGAGTCGCCAGTGAAGAGTGTTAGAGCTCAGTGCAAAAGCCATGAGTGATGAGGAGGGGTTAAGAGAAATGAACCCATTTAAGTCACCCAAATAAGGGCTGTACAAGCCCATGATGAATGCTCTGCGCTCCCAAGTGCACGAGCAATGAGAACAGCAGTGACTGGGGAGCAAGCGAACGCCCAAATCCCCATATCATAAACAAGGCAGACTGATGAATAGTCATGTTCAACTGGAGTATTTAGAAAGGCAATAGCATTCTTATTGATTTTTTTTAACTATATAAAGAAAACTATTCTCTTGTTAGCAAAATAAGAAAATGTTAATTAATCTCCAAAATTGTATATTCTGATTTATTAATTCATCTCCAAATTTGTATATTCTGATTGATAAATAACGTATTTATGTTTATTTTTATTTACCGCTCATTAAGAGGCAAGAACAACCCTTGGCTGATAGGGATTATTTCACCCAACACTTTTATCCAAATATCAAAACATATACACATCAGTCTATTACTTTAATACTGTGTTAAAGTGGTTGCATTTTCTCTCAAGGTTCCTGGACAACTTCTCGAGTGAAACCAGACCAGGCAATTTAAAAAGGACACCAGGAGCTTTCTCTAAATTGTTACAAGAGGTCCATTTCGAAAGGCGACCGACATATAGGAAGTTAACAGGAGCAAGAGGGTTGTTCGTTTTGTTGCCTCTGTTGTGACAAAAATTGCTTGCATCTGAACATAAATTCTATTTGAAAACCATTTGGTTGCCAGGTGATGAAAACCTCAACACCCCTTTGTAAGTGATGACTGTATGACTCGGGCTACAAAACATCTACGACTTGTGTAGCCCAAATAAATCTCCCCTCAAAGACACAGAAATCCACACTAGTTCTTACTTCTATTGTCACGTATCCACATCCATTTTACTTGTGACAAACAGTATTTGCAAAGTCATGGAAACTATTTGGGAACAGTTCAAACATATCAAATTTAAGTAGAAAACATGAAATGCCTCTTTTGATGTGACCAGTCTCAAAAATGGATTTGTGAACATATCAGAGCATAGACCTAGTCTGTTAATAATTTCAGGACAAAAAAGTATTTTGGTTTAGCTGTATATTGGAAATTACATCATATACAAATTACATCTATTCTTTTATTAAACCTCTCTGACCTCAATCGTGTCAGTAATAATCTTAATATAGCTCTGAAGCAACACACAAATAAAAGTTGTTGCCGTGACATGACTACTGCAGTGCTGCATAGGATTTTTTCAGTTTGCAATGAGAGAGAAACACTCTTGAAGCTGTGTGAGCGATGGAACTATTGCAGGAGTAGAGAGTGCGAGAGACGCATATGGGGCCTGACAGTGGTATATACACTACTTAGATATTAGAATGTACACAGAGCCAGAACGTAGCCTAAATAGAGAGGCGCCCTCAGGCATTAAGAGATGCTCGGTCACAGACAAGAGAATGCCTTCGAGACGGACACATTTAGGAGTGACCTATGCTCCCGATTGAGTAACTTTCCCAAGAGCTTCCTGTGTACACCTCTACGCTGAAGGTCCGTCACTGGTGGAAGGTGGGAGAACACGGCTGCATGAGCAATCCAAAAAGAAGAAAAACTATGAATGGCGCGTATCAAGTCCGATATTGGTCTGTCGTTTGTATGTATCCGATATTAGCCACGAGTACAGTACGTTTTCTAAAGACTGATGAACACTGCTGACCCGACCTCACATGTCATGCATCTGTGCAATATGGGACTACACGTGTCCTCTGTCACTTAGTCATTTTTTAGCCCAGAGCCTCATGCTACTAACATGTACAGTTGTATCATCACTGTGAATATTTGAACACGTGATTGACTTATTACTTCAATAATCTTGCACTAGAGTGTGTAACAGATTTATCTTTAGATGTATATGTACAAGTATATATTTATTTGCACTAGGGTATACAGGTTTATAATATACATGTTTATACCTATTATACTTTGTTTCTTCATTAAGATTTAGTTTTGATCTCTTAAATATATACATTTGTAAGTTGAAATCGTTGATCTTAAATAGTCTCAATAATCTGTACAATGACACTTGTGGTATTTACAAAACATAACAATTTAGTATCAGTAAATTGGCTTCTTGAATAAATAAATATAATATATCTATATTTCAAGCAGTTTCTCAAATATGCATTTGAACTTAGCACCTAATCTTTTGTCCACTATAGCCTATGTCCGACATTATGCCTTTTATATACCAGTCCTCTACCTTCTGTATTGAACACTTTCACCATAACAATTTCACAGAAAAGGGAGACTTTGCACAGCATTATCTCCCTATTCTCCCTTCTTCTGCAGAATAAGATTCCGGTGTGAGAAGCATCTGTTGTTCTCATGAGGGACTTGGACGGTATGGGAGGAGTCAAACCACTCTGCATGTCTACTGCTCGCTTCATCAGTGTCGTTCCCTCCCCAAACTTCACAAACACCAACATTCCCCTCACCAGCAGAGCCTCACACGTTTTGTCCGACGTCCTTATCACGCTGATCAATGACCACTCACTCCCACACGCACACGCAGGCCCGACCAGTGAATAATGTCCAAAGCGAACAGGGAAAACTGCGCATGGTAAATAGAAGATAACCTAGCTGTGTAACTGATGTTGTTTAAATGCACAGATAAGAGCTATCTGTGGCAAGCTTGTCTGGTGCCCGACTCACTTTTGTTTCCTACCAGCGAAATGACCGGCTGGACGTCCGACTCCTCGTTGGCCTTCTTCACCATGGTGAACCAGTCTTCAAGATTCTCAAAGCTTTGGTAGTTTGTGATGTCGTACACAAGGAGGACGCCCTGTGAGGAAAGTTGTAAGGATTTAAAATTAGAAAATGAAAAGTTGGCATTTCTTCAGCTCCTATAAAGTTCATGTCAAGGACGGGTTAGTGAGGAAAGGGAACAGTAGGTGGCACTAGTTCACTGTTTAGGGCAAGGGGACATAAGGGCAGGTTTGTTTTCTCCACAGCACAGCACTGAAAGTAGAGCTCGGCTCAGCTTTGAACACTCCCTTATACTACCACAATACCCATGTGCTGGCAATTCTATAGTAAGAACAATAACTGCAATATTTTTGTGCCAAATACATTTTTGATCTATAACAGAAACTTTCAAAAGGATTCCAAATGTGATCCATCAGCAGAGAAATATTTTACACGCACTACCCCCTGGTCAGTGCTTGTGTAACCCACGATAGAAAAATACTCCTTTATTCATGGGCTCAAGAAAAAGCGTTTATATTCTGATGCAGTTGTGTTATGCAATGACACCCCTGAAATATATAGCAATGAGGATAATATATAGAACCCATGAGCTCAAACTTTATTTTACAAGTGTTTGTTTTAACTGATGAAGTCAGTAATGTGCACCATTATAGTCATGTTTGATTGAGTTTTGAATAGAATGGAGAAGAACTGTTTGATTCTCTGATCAAACAGTGTTGTTCAGAGTGCAATGTGCAACAGTGCAATGTTTATAATAAAGATAATTTCTTTCATAATTAATTAATTGAAACGCCTTGTATATTATTTCTGTGAACAGGTCAGAAAAAGCAATTATATGCCGGCTCTGTGTTCACCTCTTGAGCTACTGCCTTTTGAGAGGATCAGGACACGAGCTTTGTCCCGTCTGCTTGTGCAACACGACGGGGCCGATGTCTGTCACTTTTTGTTCCGCTGTCACAACACGGCGCTCGGTGACGACAGCTCACACCTCGCACAATTACGGCTGGTTTTTGCCAAACAAGTATGATTGATTACCTGAGGCGCGAGGCCGACAATAGGTGCGGAGAGGATGTACAGTGAAAACAGAGAAACTCCCTCGCCCTTGTGTTATAACGCATTAATTATGTATGACACCTTCCAGACGGCTTGAAATAGACTACTTAATGAGGTTTAGTCAGGTGTCGAGGATTTGAACTTTTCTGAAGCAAAATTTTTTATAAAATTATTCTATAAATTAACACGTGTGAGAAGCACAAGAAGTTTAGATAAAATATATTGTCAATGCCATTGACAACTGTCAATGGCACTGTCTGTTTTTGACTTGGGTTCATATTTCAAAGCCTCATTATGGGATCTCATAGAAATCTGGATTAACAATAAATGAAAGTAAATTATTAACTAATGCTCAATTCTTGATTCAAATAGAGTACATAATATCATAGATGGGAAACATGTTTTTGAAAAAATCTGTGTTAAAGGACAGCATGCTCCAGGTCAAACCAGATTGTTTTATAGCAGAGTTGTATCACAGAAAGCCCAAGGAGGAGCCACACATCTCAATATTGACTAATATTGAGTAGATTTTGGGTTTGTTTACGCTTGTCTATTTACATAAACTGAATGCGTTTATGTAATTGATTCATTTATTCAACTAAACATTTCAGGCCGACCGTACAGTTTTCCAACAAATGGTTTTCAATTCCTATTTCCATGGAAAATGAATATTGAACCTGTAAGTTTATTGTGGAAATGTACTAGGATAATGTCACTCCGCAAAAAAGGTTCAACCAAGCATTGAGAGCTTGAAGAAGAATACATGTTTTCAAAAAGCGTTGGTACTTTTTTTTGCTTGGTCTTTGGGGAGGTTCTCAGCCAAAATGATTCATATCATCGCAAATCGATGTCACTGTATGTGTGTAATAAATCTAAATCTAAAAATACCAGTCATATAAAAGTTTTCACAGATGAATTTTTGCTTTTTTGAAGGAGGGGCAGGATCTTTTGAAGGAGTCATGACCATTCAGTAAGAACATGAGGCCACCATATGGCACCAAGACATTTGAATGGATGAATTGATGGGAATAATAAGAAGCACAAGGATAAAAAAAGAAGGAATTTACAACACTTCCTGATTGTGGGTTTTGGGCCTGCTTCACCAGATAATGTTTTTATTTTGCCTTAAAGTGCAGTGAGTGCAAGTTTAACTGTGTGTCACCTTACATGAGCTCCATATACATATTTATCCAGCATTTTTCCTCCCAGAGATTGGCCTCCGATATCCCACACCTGCAGCGTCACGTTCACATTACCTGCAGCCACCACAAACAATGAAACATTTTACAACATTATTATAGAATTTCACCACATAAGTACATATACATCAATTGTTTTGACAAAGCAAAGTCAGCGGTAACTTGAACACTTAGTTTGGATTATAGCAGCTTCTATAATAAAAGTCAAGCTTGTTGATATAGATATAATAAAAAATATATATAATGGACGATTAATCTTCCAATCTTTGTGCTTTTTCTGGCAGGTCACCCACATTTCAGAACAAAAATGGTTCCAGATATCAATGAGCAAACCTAAAAGGTAACACTTTCTCAACATTGGCGGGAGAATACATGAAACCATGGGCTAAACAATTATTTTATAACTTTTATACACTTGTGTGAAACGTTCGTACACAGGTTAGAAAATTTTTATTTCAAATCTCTGCACACTTGCATAACAATACAAAATTAACAGTTATTCACATTTGCAAAGGGGTTGAACGAAGCAGGCGCTTTTGTGACTTGAACACCCAAATGCGTGCACAAACACGCATGATAAAAATAATATAACTTTATGATAATAATAATAATAATGCATTAGTTTTATATAGCACTTTTCAGGACACTCAAAGACGCTTCACATGTCATTATTTTTTCATTTCATACATGGTGGTGACAAACTACCTGGTGTTTTCTCAGGACTCCCATCACAAAATGTTTTATTTGTCAACAGAAAAGGTCTTGTAAAAGTATTTTTGTGAACAGGTCAATCTGAACTCATGTACAGTATTCGGCCCCCTTGAACCTTTCGCCACATTTCAGGCTTCAAACATAAAGATATAAAAATTAAACATTTTGTCAAGAATCAACAACAAGTGGGACACAATCGTGGTGTGGAACAAAATTTATTGGATAATTTAAACTTTAACAAATAAAAAACTGAAAAGTGGGGCGTGCAATATTATTTGGCCCCTTTACTTTCAGTGAGGATCTTTGAATGATCCAGTGTTGTCCTAAATGACTGATGATGATAAATAGAATGCACCTGTGTGTAATCAAGTCTCCGTATAAATGCACCTGCTCTTTGATAGTCTCAGGCTTCTGTTTAAAGCGCAGAGAGAACCATGAAGACAAAGGAACACACCAGGCAGGTCCGAGATACTGTTGTGAAGAAGTTTAAAGTCGGATTTGGATACAAAAAGATTTCCCAAGCTTTAAACATCTCAAGGAGCACTGTGCAAGCAATTATATTGAAATGGAAGGAGTATCAGACCACTGCAAATCTACCAAGACCCGGCCGTCCCCCTCCAAACTTTCATCTCAAACAAGGAGAAGACTGATCAGAGATGCAGCCAAGAGGCCCGGGATCACTCTGGATGAACTGCAGATAACTACAGCTGAGGTGGGAGAGTCTGTCCATAGGACAACAATCAGTCGTGCACTGCACAAATCTGGCCTTTATGGAAGAGTGGCAAGAAGAAAGCCATTTCTCAAAGATATCCATAAAAAGTCCCGTTTAAAGTTTGCCACAAGCCACCTGGGAGACACACCAAACATGTGGAAGAAGGTGCTCTGGTCAGATGAAACCAAAATCGAACTTTTTGGCCACAATGCAAAACGATATGTTTGGCGTAAAAGCAACACAGCTCATCACCCTGACCACACCATCCCCACTGTCAAACATGGTGGTGGCAGCATCATGGTTTGGGCCTGCTTTTCTTCAGCAGGGACAGGGAAGATGGCTAAAATTGATGGGAAGATGGATGGAGCCAAATACAGGACCATTTTGGAAGAAAACCTGTTGGAGTCTGCAAAAGACCTGAGACTGGGACGGAGATTTATCTTCCACAGGACAATGATCCAAAACATAAAGCCAAATCTACAATGGAATGGTTCACAAATAGACGTATCCAGGTGTTAGAATGGCCAAGTCAAAGTCCAGACCTGAATCCAATCGAGAATCTGTGGAAAGAGCTGAAGACTGCTGTTCACAAACGCTCTCCATCCAACCTCCCCGCTTTTCAGTTTTTTATTTGTTAAAAAAGTGTAAATTATCCAATAAATTTCGTTCCACTTCATGATTGTGTCCTACTTGTTGTTGATTCATGACAAAAAATATTTTTTTTATATCTTTATGTTTGAAGCCTGAAATGTGGCGAAATGTTGAAAGGTTCAAGGGGGCCGAATACTTTCGCAAGGCACTGTATACTTAAGAGCCTTGTGAGCGATACTGCTGAGCAAGAATGGTCAAATTGTCTTTACTTTTGTGGCTGAAAAGCTGATCTAAAGATGTGACCAAGGCAAAACAATACACGTATAAGAAAGAACAAAACTGTTTTGAAAAGTCGGATCTAGTTTGAAAGTACTCCAGCATTAAGGATTAAAATTTTCGAAATATAATTTTTCTTAGTCAGCTTGATAATTAATTATTACAGCCCTATTGCTAATCCATGCCCATTTATTTGTAGACTAATCAAAAAGGCAAAGCTCACCTTTCTTAAGTCCCATTGAGCCATATGCAGTTTTAATTTCTACAGATTTAAAACAGTGAGACATGGTACAAAAAACAAATATTTTCCTCTTTTTGGAAAATGAAAGTGTGGTGGTTGAGGACAGAAGAGGCAGATGGGAGCAAACAGAGTGGACACGGCTGGACGACTCGAGCCTCCATACGCTCCTGTTTAAACAGTGGAGGAAGCGTGGTGGTTCACAGTCACTACATCCAGACTATACAGACTCAATGTAAAGCTACCCATGGACAACGCTCCCTTGGTGTTATAAAAAGCCATCCTGGCCCATCCACACCTCGCATACACCCTCTTTATTTATGTTTCACAGGTCCATGCTGCTTCAGGACGTTTAAAGACCGGCAAACGCTCCAAATTAAAATAAGAGCAGTAGCTGTACACACACCAAAATGTAGCTTTTGGCTAAAATTTGAATAATTAATTCAGATATAATAAACTTTATTGTGCATTCTTGCCATTGACAAGTCCGATGTCAATAGCAATCAAGTTGTGAATCCATGGACATCAGAGAAATCTACATTGAAGCAGATATGAGTGCAGTGCATTGTGTATGGAGTAAATGGTGTTAAAACATGTGCTGCAAGCCGGTTACAAAATCACTATATTTAAATGTTAAACGTGTCCTTTCCTGAACATTGATTAATTCATTATTCTATGAAAGTACTGCAATAAACACTTTTGCAATCAGCATTTTTAAAAAGGTAACCACATATAAAAAGGAAAAGGAAAAATTGCATGGACCTTTTGTTGTTAGGGGACAGATATGTCTTGGAATTTTTCCAATTATGACCATATTCAAATATATCCTTTCATTTACCATAATTAATCACTTTATAATTGATCATGATTTCAACAGATACTTCTGTCACAACTATGTAACAGAACACTCTGAACATTTCAGGGATTATACCTTATACATAACTAAGAACTGAGGAAGTAGAAAAATCACATCCACATTAAATATCCCACACTACAAAATTGATTTGCATACATCATTTTTATAAAATTTGTAAATAGAACAAGCTTTCCACTGCTCTTGACATAAGATAACGCTCCAGTTGAAAATAAATTATGAAATACTACAACCCTTCAAGAGCAATTTTTTCTTCACAGCTGACAAAGACAACCCCATTTCACAGATGTGTCCAGGCTCTTGACGCTCCTGTCAGTGGGCTTCAGCCTTCAGCATGGGCCTGGACATCTGGAAGAGGCATTGTTCTGGAGGCACGCACAGAGAGGGGCCTGTCTGTATGCCCCGCTCGCCTTACCTCACCTCTTCCCGCGTTGGAAAAACGTACATTAACTTTGACAAGACGAGCCTTCATGCAGGGACTGAGCGACTATATAGGCTGCTCTCCCCTCCACTGCTGCGGAGAGATCCTTACAGCCCCGATGAGACCAACGGCCAGGCCAATACAACGCAGGGTGGTGGTCCGGACTGCATTTGGGACCACCCTGCTCGCTCAAGCCGCCCTCCTCTTCATCAGCTCATCAACACTCAATTCCCCAGAAAATGGCCCATTTAACAAGTCCTGTGTCGGGCCAGTGTGCTAATGGGAAGGATGGACGTGTCATGTAGCCAAATAAAGGTTACAGTCAGATAAGTGTGACCGGTGGAAATAAACCACGAGGCGTCAGTCAGACGATTAGTCGGCTCTTATTGGGAACAGGATCTGCAGAAGTTTGCTTTTCATTCCATCGCCGCCGCAACACATTTTTGGGGTTACGTTCTCCTATGTTTTTTAAGCTGAAAAGGACACAGACTCCAACCTCCATTCTTTGACCAACTCATAAGTCATTCACAACATTAAAAACAATATTCCTTTCCAGTTGCGTTTGAAACAATAGAATAGGATTTAGGAGATATTTGTAGGGTTTTTTTAAGGAGCTTTAAGAAATTCCCTTTTTTATGGTGGATTGGGGGCTGCTTCATCCAATTATGGCATCAGTCAATAAACATATTTTACAAACCTGAAGGAAACATAGAATGCTCTGTGATGTCTATAAACAAATATTAGAATGACTGTTTTATATGGTACTGCACAGGGATCAGATGAAGTTGGGGATCTGTGATATGAAAATAAAATCTTTATATATTTACTCTGCCTGGAGCCCACAGAGTTATGAGTGTGGCTTGCCCGTTTGGCCTGAAGTTGTCAACCGGCCTTGAGGAGCAGAAAGAGTGTGGTGTTTTCTCTGGAGAGCATGTTTTGAAAGAAAGACACCCAACAAAAAGTTGATTACATTTAGAAACTAATAGCAATTAAAAATATGTCTGACTTAGAGCTGCAAGGGATCGGTTAAAAGTGTGATGCTAATAGTGGTGTCAAAGACTGAGAATTATATAGATTGTGATATACTTTCTTTGGCAAAAAGAAAATATAAAGAAAAAAATTTACTTTCTTGGCAAAGTTTAAGATACATAAAATACATTATAAATCACCACAATAATTTTTAAGTGTTGATTGAAATTAAGTTAATTTATGCTGTATAAATGAGTTCATTTCATTCATTGTTGCAAAAAAATATTTGGGTAGAATTGCCATTGTGTAAGGATTGTTTGCACAGTGAACACTCTTGCTTTGTCTTTTCCATTGTTGATCTTTCATGTGTAGTGTAGTTTTTACTCCCAAACATACACAGCCGTGGCAGAACTGTGGCTAAAGGCTAAGAAGCTTTCACCACGGCACGGCGTCCACATCACAGTATGAAAACAGAACATTCAAACTCTGTTGTGTGTGTTTTGTATAATTGAGGATTGTCCCCTGAAAGAGTGTAGTTGAAACTTGTGGACATAGTTGAAGTAGTTGGACTGCGCTCGGAGTGGGTCAGAATATCCTGAGACCCCTGTTGCAGATTCTGCCTCGTTCTCGTTACAGTCGGTGTGAAGAAAGTTACGTCTTGTTCTTGTGTGAATCTGTTGTGTACAAACACCAGCAATGTGCCTATTTTTACTCTGCCTTTCAGTGCGTGTGGTTTGCAATGTTGACATGATAGCTGTTATGACTGGTTACTAAATTTTTGCATAATTATTTTCCTAAAAGATTCTTGTTTGGGTAGTTCTTTTACATAACTTGATCCCTTTTTCAAACTTGTCAGGGCATGGTGGAAGCAACAATATTAGTAGCACCTGAGAAACAAAAATGTGATTCTCGCATTCTTTTTGTATCTTCTCAATTTGATAAGAGACAATATTGAAATACATTTTACAAGATGGTGCATTGACATGGAGAGTCCTCCAGCTCTCATGGATATGTATAGGTCAAATTCTGAGTCTATGACAACAATTCAAAAACATGGTAAATATTCTAAAAAGGGTCACATTTGTTATTGGTTAACATGTTATTTTAATTTGGAGCAACTGTAGAAATTACAGAGTACCTTTAAGAATCATTTCCTACAGGCCTAAAACTTAACAATATGGTTTGTTCTCAGAAGAGTGAAAACCTACAACTTTCACAAAGGTCAGGTTTTGTGATGAATTAAGTCTTCCTTATAATGAACTTTTGAAACCTATTAGTTTTCCATGTGTAACCGCAGGTTTTTTGTCCCGAGTAGGCCACCGTATGACGTAATGCACAGCCGGCAACCAGCACTTCCGCATTCCTCGGTTATTTTCTAGTGTATTTAAGCAGGCTAGACGCGATGCACAGGTAGGCTGCCCTCCCGATCATCAAACTCTGATCCGCTGTGTTTCTCTCTCTCCCAGCTAGAAGCTGTAGGCCGGGTAGAGTGGCTTGTTTGTGTTCGTGTTCTAGCTAGTCAATGTCATTCTGTTTGTGTTTTAGACCCCGTCAAGTTACCCGATTGATCCGGGGTGCGTCGGCCTGGAAGGGTATCTTTATCTGTCCACTCAGACCAGATTTCACTCTTGGTAGAGTATTTATACTGCTTTTTATAAGGGCTCAATTGGGGATCGGATTTAGAATATTTTTTTTTGTGTGTTTTCTTTTGTAGAGTCGGCAGGCCACATGTCGTTTTTATTTGGGTCTAATGCTTTGGCTGTTATTTAGTCAGGTGCGGTGTCGTGGACGAGTCTGTACCCCTTACATATGATTTTAAGTTTGTTCTCTCTTCTTTTGGGTATTGGCTTTGATCTGTGTACTGTTAGACCTGACACTGTTCTCCCTGTGCTCCAGGACTGGTTTGAGCGTGAGTGCCCGTCTGGTGGAGGTTTGGTGATGAGTTTCTCACTGCTGCACCATCACTCCCCTCGTGTGCCGTGGTATTTTTGCACTCCCCCTCACTGCATGTTTTAGTTATCCTAGATTTGGTTTTGCTCTTGTGTGCGTGCGCGCTTGTGTGTGTGACTGCACGGTGTGTAGTGAGTTCTCTGTCCCATTCTCATATTTGCCCTCTGACCGAGTGCACCCGCGGCCGACTAGTCCTGGTCACTCTTAAAAGAATTTGAGAGTGACCCTAACCCTAACCCTAACCACTGATATTTATTAAAACTAGAATTTTAACCTAGCCTTAAATAAACATATTTTTCATACATATTTATTAACATGCTTTTCTTTCCTTAGTAAATTAAGAATAAAGCTTTTTAAACTTCCATGGCATTTGTCTCTTTTTAACTATTCACTGCATCCTTACCTGTGTTCTATAAATACTGTTTGATTGGGCTCCCTCGGTTACATATGAATCCTCACTTTTGTGCAACAAACTCTGCTTGCCTCGCTCCAACTTTGTTCTGCTCTGCAACTGCGCACGCGCTGATAGACCAGAACGCTACTTGTTCCACTGGTCCTATGGCCCACAACGCAAGCTGGGTAGAGTGGCTTGTTTGTGTTCGTGTTCTAGCTAGTCAATGTCATTCTGTTTGTGTTTTAGACCCCGTCAAGTTACCCGATTGATCCGGGGTGCGTCGGCCTGGAAGGGTATCTTTATCTGTCACGGAGCTGGGATTTGGGGGTATATGGTGGTTTCCCATATAAGATAAGATAAGATAAGAGGTACCTTTATTCGTCTCGCAGTGGAGTAATTTCAGTGTCATCGTTGCGCACATTACAGCAGAGAAAGAAGGAAATAAGAGCACTCAGATTGTGCACATCAAATTGAATCTAGTATTTAAGATAATAGACAATATAATTGAAATAAGATGAAGAATAAAATAAAATAAACAGGTTACGCAGTATGCGTGGGATAGCTGAAAGTGTCTGTTGAGTAAAGGCTTGGCCCCACATGGCACGCATTAAACAAATAAATTGATATAAAAGTAATCAATGTGATTTTTTTTTTTTTTTTACATTTTGTCACTCACAGAAAATTAAAGAGATTTTTTTTTTAAATAATTAAAAGTGGGACAACTTTCACAATTACTTGGTTCCACCTTCAAGGTGAGCATTTAAAGGGACGGTATGTATGCACTATCAGTGGTTTAAGAAAGTCATATCATTTACTATCAGATTCACATTCAGAAAACTTTATTGATCCCAAAGGGCAATTCATTCACTTTTGTTGCCAGAATCTTTCTGCCTGTGACGTGGCCCAAACCTATTACTATTGCATCTTTACTCTTTTTAATGTCCTGTGGTAATTCATGGCTTTAATGCCTTTTATGATAGAGATTTATTAAGCAGTTTGAGTTTCCTTGCCTTTACTGATGCAATTCACCTGCTGGGTTTCACTATAAACAATAACAACTGTGTCTTATGTACGACTTTCTTGCACCTGTTGTCATTCAAACCTTATTTGAATTCAAATAAGAAGTACAAACTCAGTCTATGGCTCCATGCTCCATGACAAACCACATTCTTTTTAGAATAGTGTGAAGGTGTCTCACCTGGAAGGCTTATTCTCTTCAGGAAGAAATCCAGACCAATAGTCTGTTTGTATTGCTTCCCAAAGGCCTCCTGTGCAAACCTTGTGGCCAGTGATGTCTAAAACAGAGACAAAAGAAGACAAGAGAGAATGAGTAGATGACAGTTTTTACTCAGAGTATCTCACCTAAAACAACAGCAGTGTTTAAAAGGAGATGATGATGATATTCCAACAGTTGTGACTATCCGTACACACTACGCACACAAAGGGGGAAATGTAAGATACTGCAAAACATATTCCAGAGTAAATACACATACAGTACTAAATCACTTCCTGAAACCATGATAGTTTGTAGAACTACTAGATGCATACCACTGCATATAGCTAAATATTCACCCTGTCCACAGGCCAAACTAAGCTTTTTTTTATTTTCTGCTTTCTACGTATTAACTCACTTTTATTTCTCCAGCTGCACACAGCTATAATTCACAGCAATGCGAGTAACAGGCTATTAATCTAATCATTACCAATCCCTTTCAAGCACTTCTAAATTTGCCATGATTGACTGGACAGTAAGCTGATGTCAGCCTCTGCACTCACTTGTGGAAGAAACATGTGAAAATGGACGTGGATTACAAAACCAGGTGTCACCTATGTGTCATGTCTCCAGACTCCAGACCTAATAATTGCCACAAATTATAATGCCTCCATCACTGTCACTGTTGTGCGAAAAGAGAGAACTAGTCTTATGTTAGGGAAATCCATGGGAATTCTGAGCTTTGGCCTGCTGCGCCAAGTACAATTCTGTTTGATGGATGAGGATTGGGAAATTTTACTAAATGTCTAAAGATATCTTAAGTTGTAGAGGCGAGTATATGCACATGAAGAAAAAGGGCATTCAAAGCAGTATTCTGTAGCTATTCAACTTTTTAATTTGTTTTATTTAGTTATTTAACCACCTCTCATTTCTAACTATCAGGCTATATTTTAGGACAAATCTTGCTTTGATCATTTTATGATGACAGATAACTGCAAACGTGGTGTTATGCGTTTGTTTACATTGCTGGTCTGAATCATACAAATAAAGAATTAATACTGAAGGCACACATACACTATAAAGAGAGCTTATAAGGGGCTGAACGTTGACTGAATGTGACTGACACAACAAGAAGAAAATCAGGCATTTAAGTAGGCTAAACAATCACAGACAACACAAAAATAACAGGTTCAGACAGCATAAATCTATTCCACATGCTCACTTTGGCCAAGTCGGCCATTTGTCTTGGCATTCCAGTCCCTTGGCTTTTCTCTCCGTGTAGTCTTTTTTCCACCGTACAATTGAAACTAACCGACAAATGTAAAAGCTGGAGTAATCCTCCTGCCTGGGTCACAAATGATAGCAATGCCGGGAAATGGGGGAACTTCTACTAAACGACTGGGAGGGGAACACAGCTGTGCCATCAGTGTTCAAGTGATACAACCAAATAAGTGAGAGAGTAACTTTCGACTTACTCTTTGTTCTGATAATTTAGTAATCCCTTAACAGTTTTTTATTACCCTAAACATACTGGTATTACTAAAATGATTGCAGAATAAAATTAAAATGTCAAAGTGTATCTTAATCAAACAACCCCATTTCTAACAAATCATGACAAAGTTTTCCTGACGCATCACTTTGTTTTGGTCAAATGTAAACAAATACCATATTCACTGACCTTTCGGGATCTCAAAACCTCATGGATAAATCAAAAGAATGATCTGCCAACTAATCCCACTGGGTTTTTGAGTTGTTCTTTGTCAATGCAGGAGGATCTAAGGACAGTGATGATCCAGGACCCTCGAGGACATTCATGAGCATTTATTAACGTTTACAGATATTGGTTATCCTCTTATTCTCTTATCTGTTCTTGGTGAAACAACAATTTTGTTAAGACCTCCGAGATGACTGCTGTTGTGATTCATGGTTATTAAAAAATATATTGAAGTAATAGATTATTTCCCTGATCCAAACAGAGTCTAAAAGAGTACAAAATGAACCAATCCTGTGATAATGAATTTCTCGTAACGTTATAGTGGCGTGTAACATGACTTCAGGTGGTCAACCCTCTACATTTTGCATTTAATTGGGGACACATTCAAAAAATACTACTGAATATGGCAGTCTAAGGAAAACTGATTGATGTGAGCTCATCAATAACAGAGAAACTGCGTTCAAGCAGTCAGTTACACATTTCTGTTCAAAGAGAGGGTCGGAGCCTCTGTTCTGAGCCCAAACACACACATGAAAATATCAGCAGCCTACAGCTTATTAAGTTTTAAGTTGATTCATTGGGACACTTGATATTTAGTGGAACAATCTGTCCAAAATAACTTAAACACTAGATACATTGTTCATTTCAGTATATGTGTGATTACTTTAGTTTCATTTACCTGATCGGATTATGGACCGTTTTATTCTATTTTACAGAATGTAACTCACTGAGATTTACATATTATATAATGCATGTGTGATGTATATGTTGTGTATAAGCTGAATGATCGACTCATTGCACCATCATCGCACAGTGGGGAAATTCTAATGTTTCAGCGCACATACATGACAGAAGTAAGAGGACACAGGGAGCACACAAAATATACAAAATAAGTGCTATACTTCTTAGCTAGCTGTAAATGCTTTGATATCAGTCTTTCAAAATATCTATATAGCGCAAAGTTATATACATATAGGGCAGGGTAATAAAACACAAAACACACAACATAAAGTGACATTCAAGTACCTGGCTGTTCACATAAACAATAAACTGGACTGGTCCTATAACACCAACACCCTGTACAAGAAGGCCCAAAGTCGCCTCCACCTTCTGAGGAGGCTGCCGTCCTTTGGAGTGAGCAGGCCTCTGCTCAGGACCTTTTATGACTCTCTCTGTGGTAGCCTCTGCCATATACAATGCTGCCATGTGCTGGGCCCCGGGCAGCACAGAGCAGGACAGGAGCAGACTCAATTAGCTGGTCAGGAGGGCCAGCTCCACTCAGGGCTGCCCCCTGGACTCTGTGGAGTCCATCATGGTATACAGTCTATGTGTACAGCACAAGACTGTAGAGGAGCTGAGGAGCTCCCTCAGTGGGAGACACCCTCAATGCAAGAAGGAGCGCTACCGCAGAGCCTTTATCCCACCGCTGTCAGAATGTACAATAAGTCACTTGCACTACTATTGCCACTGTTTCTTTAATTGCCACTTTTTATTGTGCATAATATATCCTGCACAAACTATTTTTTGTTTTTAACATGTTTGCACACTTCTGTCAGTTAGAGAAGGTATTCATCATACATTTTTCACTTCCGTTTTATGCTAATAATGTTCGTGAAAAGGTTAACTTTGTTTTTTGTTGTCTGTTTTAGTTACGAACAACATCTTTCTCAGCGTTCTTGAAAGACAGCCATTGTTTTTATTTTATATGTGAGTAAGAACAAACCCATAGTTTCACGATAAGAGTAATATTTTTCAACTAAAATAAATGAAGATTAGGCCCAGGGTTTCTTCGTTCTCTGTGTTCTTTTCTCCAATAAAATGAGGAGAGAGGTGGGCATTTCCATCACGCAAGCTGCACGTACAAGCCGTCGCTATGGTGACGATGGACAAACGCGTGTAGCATGAATGTTATTTAGCAAAGCTAGCTGTTACACAGGCACCACTATTACGGTTTACGTTGTCCTTCAAGGCTTCGTCTGCGTTGGCATGTTGTAAGAGAAAACGTAAAGTAAATCATATAGAGCTGAAATGGGCTTTATACGTACCTTCCCACAGGCTCCGTCTCCAATCACCACGATTTTCAGCTGTCGGTCTTGACTTTCCTCCTCACAGTCTGACATGGCAATGTTCCTTGTGAAAAGTCAAATATATAACTGCACCTTAGGGAATTTCGACAAAGCTAGTGGGCATATCTGGCTAATTATCTGCGGATTATATATTTGCTGAGCGGAGCAGCAGACGCCATTTTGATTCCACGGACACCACACAGCGCATGCGCATCCATACCCCTCTGAACAGTAGGAGAAAGAACAACAACACTAGAGAAATTACATTTTATCTATCTATTATAATAACGAGATATACTAGGGTCGGAAGTCACCATAGACCACGCTCTACGGTAATAATGTTTAAGATCAAGAGGGAATTTATTTATTATAGTTCCATCATATGAGCTGAGACAAGCCATAAACGCTATATATATTTTGACGGATGGTGGACGTATCTGTGTTTTCTGGATGAATTTAAAGCTACTGTTGTCCAAACACAGACTTGTTTAAGTAATATTTTGTGAACAAATCAGATCACAACACAACATGCTGTCTTTATCTTTTTTTCACTGTAAAAAGTTTATTAGCAGTGCATAACTTAAGTATTGTATCTTCACTCGTTTTCATGCACTGTGAATAATTATCCTTTTAAAAACCTTGTATGATTGTTTTTTTCTTGTTTTGTTATGCACTTTGAGTTGTCTTGTGCATGAACTTTACTGTAAAAATAAACTTGCATTGCCTTATTTTTTCACTGAAAATGTGTAAGATGTGGCATAAAGCTAATATGCATATATGCAATACAGAACCAAGCTGTTTTGAGATTTATTACATCATGTTTTGTGGTATACTCCAACTTTAAGCAGTTCAAATGTTTTGGAGTGATCTGGCACCAAAGAGTTCAGGGAACACGTTCTGCAGCAACCCGAAAGTTTGGATACATCTATCAATCATTTATAGTCCTATCCCTAAATTATCAGGGCTCTATGGCGCCTGTTTCACATAATATTTGTGTGGGGGGGAAACTCCCTAAAAACCGCTATTTGTCACGTCATGCCTACAGTGTTACATTGAATCGCAGGAACGTATCCTTAAACCGATCATTAACTTAAGTTTTATATATTAAGCCGAACGATGTCCCAGAGGCAATATGAGGCTAATGTATGGGTATTTTCATAAAATATATTATGGAATTAGTCACACAAGTTTAAGAACCACTAACATAAAATCAACGTTAGCTTATAAATTGTAGTTATAATAAAAGTCTGCACGATGGTTCTTCTTCCGCTGCCGAAATCACTGCAGATGTTGGTAAGATTGAACTCCACAAATTGTTGCCAATACAAAGTACACATCCTCAAATATCTACTCATATGATATAACAAAATCCAGAAAAAAAATACGACCAGTGGCCTATATTTAGTTTATTTAGCCTCTAAAACTAATCTTTTGAAACAAAACGCGCTGCTGAATCTATTTTTGAACCAAGCAGAACTTCGTCCGCATGCGTGTTAATTCACACAAAAAACATAAACCCAGATGTAAAGAATGACTTTTGGTTTAGTGTATATTTTTGAATTTACAATTAAGGGCTATGAATAATCTGTGTTTATTCTTCTTTAAACATGCAGGAGGAAAATGCATACACTGCATGACATCACTAATCTGATGTTAAATATTGCATTACTTAAGCGCAGCAGCAGCAGCAATATTCAGAGATGATTTTGAAACGACCAAGACAGCAGGTGGAACATGGGTAAAAACTGCAAATCTTATTCATAAATATAATCTATTATCAATTTATTAGTTGGCGAGATCTCTCAAACATATTCAAAACATCACAGAGTCTGTTACAAATTTGAAAAAGATCGAATGTTTTTGAATTAGATGAAGACTGAGATTGTGATCTGATTTGTTCATATTTTACCTTCACCCTGAGCTCGTTCTTTCTTTGGAAAGAATTAAAACGGTTGATTCATGATTAAAAGTTTTAGGAAGAATACAATTGCAATAACTAAGGTGAAACCTTTTACCCGGGACATGTCAGCAGCACATATCCTGACAAGTGCAATTACAAAAGACATGGATCTCAAAACCGTGTAAAGTGCACCAGACGTGGGTCTCTTTGAAGGACCCATCTCCTCGCGTGAACGAGCAGATTTAAACAATGTTCTGATTTTTAAGTATTTGAGGAACACAATGCGAATGTGAATTGTTTACATTAGACTGCAAATCTGGTATAGTCCTCATGATAAAAAAAGGCAAAACTCTCGCACACACATACGTACATATATATACATATATATGCCAATAATAATAGTAATAAAAGCTGATATGCAGGTATGTTTTAATAAGTTTTAAACAGCACACACATGTCAGGGTTTGTCTGTTAGGTCTTTAAAGTCACACAATTATTAAAACACAAGCCTTATCTTATCAAACCTGCCATGATGCATGAATACAAAACGCCTTTTACATATTACAACGTGTTTAAGCTCAAAGTGCAGATTTGTATAACTTTTCAAACAAACAAAAATACATTATATAATACAAGGATTTGCCTGTTGCACTGCAGAGGTAGGAAAGTGAATATCTAATAGAAACCAAGCATGTTTTGTTTACCACAGCTCCACGCACGCGTTTACATTGTTCCAATCCTTGGTCAAAAGTTTGTTTTGGAGAAGACGTTTCACCGCTCTCAATGGAAGATGAGGCTTTTGTGTTCACGAAAGGAATCAAATCTCCTTGTTCCGTTTCTGAGATCAGTGGAATAATACAAAATGAATAAATATGTTGTGGAGTTGTTGTCACTGGTTGCCTGCACATGCAGACAGGGTCCATGCTGGCAGGCAGTAGGCGTATGGATAGTAATAGGGTGCCTGCAGAGAGAGCAGTGGGGGCCGCAGGATCTCCCCAGGGCTGTACTGTCTCTGATCGTCTCGCACCAAAACCTTCACCGCCACCTTCTTCGCCGCGGGAGTGGAGGCCATGAGTTCGGCTGCCATCTGCCGCCTCTTGGTCTTGTATCTACGATTCTGGAACCAGATCTTGACCTGAGTCTCTGTGAGCTTGAGAGAAGCCGCGAGGTCTGCGCGCTCTGGACCAGACAGGTACCGCTGATGGTTGAAGCGACGCTCCAGCTCAAAGACCTGTGCGTGTGAGAAGGCCGCTCTGGAGCGCTTCTTCCGCTGCTTCGGCTGCTCCAGACCTTTGTCCTCTGTCTTACAGGAGTCTACGACAAACAAATAAAACATGGTTTAACACAGGTGTTGTTGTATTTTAACTGATAAATACAACAATAAATGGGCCTCGTCAAGGGTGCTGTCGGTGATGAAATGCGACATAAGAGCAGTGAGGAGGGTTGTGAACTTGTGGTGTATCCGCCTGGGCGAGACCAAAATGACTCGTGTTGCCTCGAGTGTTAATGTGACTCAAGACGAAGTTTCTATATCATGTAAAGAATGCAAACAAATCACAATTTAAGAATAAAACGGCAGGAACACTTCCGCAGTATTCTAAAGCAGCCAAACTTTTGTGTGTGCTAAAGGGGAGCCATCAAGCAACAAACAGGTCAGTGATTATTACCTGTGGCATTGTTAGGCTCGCTGTCACTCTTGGCGTGCTCCACACACGTGGACTCCTGGTCTGTCTCCTCATGCACGTCAGACGTCGGGTCCGCGTCTTTCTCACATTTACATGCTGACAGGACTTTACTCTCGTCGTCGCTGAGCCCCGAGTCTGAGTCGTATATTTTCTGGTCCATCATTGGTTCACAAACCTGTCCATCCTCTCTTCGAGAAACACTGTTCATTTCCCCAAATATTTTCCAGCAAGCTGCTTTGGAGAAGCACACGTCCACATCAGCAAAGTGCCGACTGTCGTCCTTCTTGTTCAGGATGGCCTGGATGGAGAACGGCATTATTGAATTGCCGTGAACAGCCATTTTATTATCGCAGCAAGTTTCGCGAGCTTCAACTTCAGGACTGGGAAATCCCGTGTGTGTATCCGTGTATTCGCTATTCCTCTGCTAAACGCCCTCAAACGTAGTTCCAGAAGGTGGTGATCTGCTTGCGGTCCCCGGTGATGCGCGCTGCTCGGTGGTTCGTACATCCGCGGGCAAAGCTCTGCTCGTCCTCATACTTGTGCCACGGACACAGGCGCACTGAGCTCTGGGCCCTTTTCACCCCCGCTCCTGTTCCCCCACGGCCCCCCTCATCTGTGACGGACAGCCTCCTGCCAGCGCGTCCTATTGGCCCATATCTGAGGCAGACCGTGCGCCATTGGTCCATGTAGCCACGCTACTTCAGCTACAGTGGAGGATTTGGAAACTTCAGACGCGTAAATAAACACCGTTTTCTTTCGTGTCGCGCCACACAATGGTCTAAACGCAAATGCACTTATAGAATCATGTTTGCTTCTGTCCGAAGAGGCAGGTTTGCACACTTATGTCAGACTGCATGTCTGTCCAGTGTTTCTTTAATCTTGGAAGGTTTTGAATAAACGAAACCCGTTAAACCAAATGTTTCTATTCAGTTTTATTTTTAATAGAATATAATACAAATACAACTAGCTTATATTGAAATTAATTTGTGCACTAAATACGATCTTTTCTCTAGCCTCACATTAGGAGCCTGCAGGCCGATGGTAAATGACCGGTATCGCTGCACTATAGGCATAGTGTGCCTCGGGATAATCTAGTAAATATATGAAGTTATCATTTTGAATGTGTAAATAGCTGATGTCCGAACCTTGGCTCCTTCAAACACTGACCCTGCTCTTCATGTGACCACACCACATCTTCAACTTCAGTTAGGCCTTCTAAGGCTTGGCCTAAAGAAAGAACTTGGCATGCACGAAAGTCTTTCAGATGTAAGTGTTTTATGTGACGTTATGGCTATCCAGGGTGTTTGGGATATACACCATAGACTGTATGCACGTAAACAATTGATGCGCAACAGACTACACATTTTGATGAAAATCAGACTCAGCAAATGGGATCAAGAAACACAGATACAATATTGAAATAAAATAAAAAGCCAAACCCAGGCGCCAGCTCAAAAAACAGAGTCCTTATAGTGAATTCTACAAGGCCAGAGTATGTGTACTATTTTGTCTTGGGTTTGTCCACCGTGTAGGCCATGGGTCTTTATTGACCACAATGTATTGCAGCAAAGACTAGCGCTCAAAAGGAAATTAAATTGTATCCGAAAAATAAGTGCAGGCCTAAAATTAAAAAAAGGAAAGGTGAGAGAGGCCGGTCTTATACACATATTCTCCAGCCTTTATCCTCCAGAGAGCGACTCTGACTTTGGGACAGTCAGTGAACTTTTCTTTTTAGGGTACGGGGGAACGGGAGCCGATAGCCTCTGGTATTACACGCCCATGAGCAATCAGTTTAATTATCAGGCTCATGTAAAGTTAACCCTAAAGTTTAGGTGAGGTCCTCATCCAGGTCATAATCGACAGCGACCCTCCCTCTCACAAATATTTACACGTGTACATACTTTTTTATTTTATTATTTCCTGATATTGATTTGAGCTCCGCTTATGTCGGTTTTTACAAAACGTTTGTGGTAAAAAGTAATACAATAATAATAATAATAATACAAATAATAATAATACAAAACTAGCGCGTCAAGAGTTTAAAAAATCCTATTTAGATTTTTGTTGTTGTTGTAATTTCAAAATCATTTGGGGAGCTATATCGGAATATATGAGCTGCAAGTCCCGCCCCGAGCTACAGGTTGGGGATCCTCAGACTGTCACTACTATCAATCCTTAAGGAAAACTTGCTGCTTTGGATTTTCTACAAACTGTGACATCAAACACGGAGCAACGAAAGGTGCGACTTGGGTCTCTCCCTCAGCGGCCTCTACGGCACAAACCTGCTGCACTCATGAAGCAAGTTTGACCTAAATCATTAGGAAGAGGGCTAACGGAGCAGCAGAAAACACAGATACATGAAGGGAAACAAATACATCAGATATAAACATATGGTCTGGAGCTGTCAAGTCAGTGAAGGCCGCGAGGTGACGTCACACAAGAAACAGGGTCCGAGCTGCGTGAGTCTATATGTTTAATATATACAATATGGTCTAGGCCTAATTAAGACGCACAATATAAACATATAATATACAGGCTATTTATGTTGTTCCTTGCCGCCGGAGGAGAGTCTTGCAATGTAGTGATGATTTGGGACATTTATGGTCGTCAAATGTATGGACATTGGTCATCCGCCCATATAGAACTAATAGCTCCTGTTTGGTGTCATTTCATTTTCTGTGTTTACCATGTTTGATTCTCTGATCTGTGTTGGCGAATTGACAACTCCTCCGAGATAATTTATGTTGCGATAGGCTGATTGAAGCTGAAACTGTTTTTGTTTTAGATCCCAACCACAAAAACGCTAAAATCGGTACTTTAGCCTATATAACTAGGTCTGCCTTTTTATTACGCATTGTTATTATACTATACAAAAAACATTATTTAAATATATGTTATTCATAAAAACACACACGCACACATTTTGTGGGTGTCCACATTTTCAAGGCTCACTAAACTAACGCGCAGGAGTTCTAGGCCTATTGCCAAAATTAGAATATTAAACAATTCTGTCACTGGTATAGGCCTGGTGGAAATAAATACATATAGGCTACAGTAGGTTGTGTATTTATTTTTATTTATTTTTTAAATGTATTTTTTTCGTTTATGGTGATCAATATCCAACAATAGCTCACGGGTTCCGCTCTCTCCAATTTTAGCTCAAGGGAATCAGGAATAAAATACGCAAAACATTTCATTTGTGGTTCGCTACATAACCTCTTTAGTTGACTTCTATTTGTTCTAATAAAAAATAGTTCTTTATTTTCATGTGGCTGCTCACATAGGACCTCACCCAGATAGTGGCGATAACGGCTCAGTTCTGCATAAGCAAACAGTTTAGGCCTTGCCCTAGATGTCGAAATGGCACCCTCTACTGATGTGGGAGGCTACTGCACACAGACAGAGAGGGAAAATCTGATAATACAACATAACTACATAATGACCATGCCAGGAAAGGGTATATTTCGATGTCTTTTCCTATCTGCGCTGACACTTCCTAATGTGCCCAGACTCTTGTCTTCTTTTCCTCTTATAGCCCAGCCTGCAGCAGTCCCAAATTACACACAGGGTGAAGTTCCCACACCACCTTTCCAGTTTAGAAACACACTTTAATCGTGCATTTTTGCATACTCTGTTTTTAATCCTGCATCCTCTTGTAACTGTAATCCAAAATATTCCAGACATTTTTCCTGAAGCAGTGATTTGACAGTTAAGCTATCCATAGGGAAATTTGTCCCCAACATTTGACCTTTCAATGCCACTAGGGGCTTCTGTCAGGCGCAGTGTTTGCCGTACAGATGGGGATGCTCTTGGTCTGGGCTAGAGATGGATGATATCACATACTGTATTGTACATGATTTTAATGGTAGGGGAACCCGGTGCCTTCAGAGGCAACCTATGCAGACATGGGAAGAGAATGTAAACTCCTCTTCCAAATGAAAAAGCCCTGTTCCAAACCCAGGACCTTCTTACTGAGAAGCAAAAGTGCAAACCACTCAGCCACCATGCCGCCTGTTCCCATAGTAACCTGTGTTTGGCCTCTGTTTATGACAGGCCTTGACTTTCTTATATGGGCTACAAGGAAACACTCAATGACCCACACCAAAGAATAAAACCAGAAAATTGTGTTCAGATGGTGCAAGACACAAATGGGCAGTGTCTTCTTCAAAACAGGCTCCCAAAATGTCACCTCGAGTTTTTGTCAGGACCCCTAAAGCATGAAACAGTCTCAGCTCATACAAGGGGAGAGGGGCAAGGTTTCTGTGAGACTTAAGTGCCCATTGAGCTGGCATATAGTCTTGACTCTAAACTTATTTTTCTTCAAGAGGGGGGAAAAACTATCATTCCATGCAACACTGCAAGCTCTTGGGATTCAAAACGTAATGCTATAACTGTAACCGTGCAAAGGGGAAGGCTCTATTTCCTGGAAGCAGTTTAAGACACTTTACAAAAACAAAACAAAAATGAGGCACTTTTGTCTGAGCTGTTACAGTCCAAATCATCTGTGTGGATAGTACTGACATGATTTATAGACAGTTACAAGGCGTGCCGCGCTGACAAATGGATCTTCATACACAAGAAGCGTGCCATAGAAAGTGTGACACATCAGGCTTCTGTGGTGTCTGTCTGCTCCATTGTCTTCCACTCACTCTTGACTAAAGACATGTTTAAGGTGGCAGTCAAGTTTGCATGCTCCAGATTAACATTTTGTCTATCGGCGGGGGCATGACTTTCAAACAACACTTTTAACTTTTGCTTGATTATGATTATATCATAAACATCTTTGGATGTGTTTTTAGACTGCCCACTCACCCTATCAGCTCTCAGACCAAAGCATCTAATAGTGAGGTGGCTTGGAAATATTTAGATTAAGTATTCGTGCATTTATTGGATTTGACTGTCTCTGTCACATTGCATTGTGGGCTGCCGTTCTGCTGAAGAAACACAAGGTGCCACACTATTAAATGTTATCCTAACTCCCCTATTATTTACTCTGATATCCTTATTGTAAAATGTGGTATGTGAAACCCGTTCGTTCCCTTGGGCCTTTCATTTGAGAACCACTGCATCCACTTTTCTTTAATTCTTGGAATGTTTGTGAAAAATACCAATGCAGATGGATTTCCACAAATATTGATTGAATATCACGTATAAGTCTGGCATGAGCCTGGCAACCTTGAATAACATTTGTTCTCATATTTTGGGACAGATTATGTACCATTGCTTTAAGAGCAGAGATGGAGATCAGACATTCCGTATCTGCCAGTGGACTTTGACAGGAACAGCGTAGGGGTCACTGATCTGCAAAAACATATCTGCTTGAACTAAGATTGAATGAGTTAAATGATAAATGTTCACCAGCGTTTTAGAAGTTGAACAGATACATTATTTCATGTGATTACACAATCTTAATGAAAAAGGCTGGAAACTGTTTGTCACATATTTATATTATTATAATAACAAATCTTTAATTGTATAGCACTTTTCTAAAACAGTGTTAACAAAGCATGCACAGTCAGCATAGTAATAAAGTCAAAATCATACAAAGTCAAAATAATTAACATAGACACAGGAAGACAAAGTAGAGGAACACAAGAAAGACAAAAAGGCAAAGCAGACAGTAAAATAAACTATAATGACATGAAATCTCTTCCCTCTGACATAAAACTACAGTCCCGACGCTCCCACTTAAATCATGTTATATTTTCATGAATATAATTTGTATTGTGTTTTCACTTTAGTATGTATCATATTAGTATTCTTTAACTTAGATATAAAACTAACTGCAATGGTAAGTTAAACATATTTCTAAAAGTACAAGCAGTTAATTTCCCTGTAAAAGTAAGTAATCTTTATTTATAGAGCACATTTCAAGGTCAAGTGCTTTACAATGTTTTTGGAGTTCAGGTATTTTCCCATTCTCTTCATACGGTGATGACAGAAGCGAGTTGCAAAACACACTGGTGCATCGAAGCCCTCGACCAACACCAGCCATTTACTCATTACACTCAGACCAATTGTACTTGATTTTAGTGGAAGGGGAAATATGTAAACCCCACAGAAAGGCCTAGAGGAGGAATATATATATATAAATGAAAAACTAAAAAGGGAAATAATACCTCTCATACATACCTGTGCTGCTAACATGTAAAATACATTCAAACATTTATGTAGGCCGCACATAAAATCATGTGGTCTAAGGGAGTAAAGTAAAAAATAATGTAATAAAAAGTTGAGAGTGAGTGAATGGACGGCTGTTTATCTGCCAAAGCTTAATACGAGAACGTGTGCTTTGAGAGTTGGTGGTGAGAAAAGAGCAGACTGTGCGGAGGTTCATCAAACGATGGAAGGTTTCATCTTTATTCTGTTAGTTGCTCCTCAGTAACAGACTGGAATCTATGCATCTCTGTTCAGGCCCCACAGACGACACTATCATATATACACAGCTAATGTCCTGGGACTGACGTAGGCAACGGCAAAAAAAAAAACTCAAAAACTCTACAGGTATGTGCTGAATATTTAATGGTACAGTGCCTTGCGAAAGTATGAACCTTTCAACATTTCGCCACATTTCAGGCTTCAAACATAAATATATAAAATTTTAATTTTTTGTCATGAATCAACAACAAGTGGGACACAATCGTGAAGTGGAACAAAATTTATTGGATAATTTAAACTTTAACAAATAAAAAACTGAAAAGTAGGGCGTGCAATATTATTTGGCCCCTTTACTTTCAGTGCAGCAAACTCACTCCAGAGGTTCAGTGAGGATCTTTGAATGATCCAGTGTTGTCCTAAATGACTGATGATGATAAATAGAATGCACCTGTGTGTAATCAAGTCTCCGTATAAATGCACCTGCTCTTTGATAGTCTCAGGGTTCTGTTTAAAGCGCAGAGAGAACCATGAAGACAAAGGAACACACCAGGCAGGTCCGAGATACTGTTGTGGAGAAGTTTAAAGCAGGATTTGGATACAAAAAGATTTCCCAAGCTTTAAACATCTCAAGGAGCACTGTGCAAGCAATTATATTGAAATGGAAGGAGTATCAGACCACTGCAAATCTACCAAGACCCGGCCGTCCCTCCAAACTTTCATCTCAAACAAGGAGAAGACTTATCAGAGATGTAGCCAAGAGGCCCATGATCACTCTGGATGAACTGCAGATAACTACAGCTGAGGTGGGAGAGTCTGTCCATAGGACAACAATCAGTCGTGCACTGCACAAATCTGGCTTTTATGGAAGAGTGGCAAAAATAAAAGCCATTTCTCAAAGATATCCATAAAAAAGTCTCGTTTAAAGTTTGCCACAAGCCACCTGGGAGACACACCAAACATGTGGAAGAAGGTGCTCTGGTCAGATGAAACCAAAATCAAACTTTTTGGCCACAATGCAAAAGGATATGTTTGGCGTAAAAGCAACACAGCTCATCACCCTGAACACACCATCCCCACTGTCAAACATGGTGGTGGCAGCATCATGCTTTGGGCCTGCTTTTCTTCAGCAGGGACAGGGAAGATGGCTAAAATTGATGGGAAGATGGATGGAGCCAAATACACGACCATTCTGGAAGAAAACCCGTTGGAGTCTGCAAAAGACCTGAGACTGGGACGGAGATTTATTTTCCAACAGGACAATGATCCAAAACATAAAGCTAAATCTACAATGGATTGGTTCACAAATAGACGTATCCAGGTGTTAGAATGGCCAAGTCAAAGTCCAGACCTGAATCCAATCGAGAATCTGTGGAAAGAGCTGAAGACTGCTGTTCACAAACGCTCTCCATCCAACCTCACTGAGCTCGAGCTGTTTTGCAAGGAAGAATGGGCAAGAATTCCAGTCTCTCGATGTGCAAAACTGATAGACATACCCCAAGCGACTTGCTGCTGTAATTGCAGCAAAAGGTGGCGCTACAAAGTATTAGCGCAAGGGGGCCAAATAATATTGCACGCCCCACTTTTCAGTTTTTTATTTGTTAAAAAAGTTTAAATTATCCAATAAATTTTGTTCCACTTCACGATTGTGTCCCACTTGTTGTTGATTCTTGACAAACAAAATAATTTTTATATCTTTATGTTTGAAGCCTGAATTGTGGCGAAATGTTGAAAGGTTCAAGGGGGCCGAATACTTTCGCAAGGCACTGTAAATGCTGTTTTTTTTCTTTAAGGAAACTCATTTAAACGTTTACAAAATGCAGCTTTTAAAACAATAAAAGCAATGGGGTTGCATGAAAGAGAGCCACCCATTTTAACACAATGTATACATTATATTGGCAATATTATTTATTTTTTGTTTAAGTCAAAAGTTACAATTCTTTTTAGCAAGGCTGATAATGATTTTGGATATCTACCATATACAACCTGTGTCCTAAAAACAAAATGATTCAACAAAGGGGTCAGAGTAAATACTGTATAATGTTTAATAACAATTTTTTCATTGTGTATTTGTTCAAGTATAACATTAGCTTTAAGAAAAATGTTGCATCATTTGAATTTAATTTCAATATTCCAAAAAACCTCAAACAAAAGACAAGGGACACAAAGTTTTAAAACAAAGCACATTTATGTAAAAGATAATGTGGTATAAAAAGAATGACAATACTGTTATTACTGCAAAGATCTACAGTACATATAAGAATGTGTAAAAAACAGAAAGGACTTTGTCACCATTCACAGAATGAATAATCCCTCACTGTGGCGGAGGCATAATGCTCAGGAAAAAGTACAAAGTTGTGGTTCTTCAAAGTAGAACATGTACAAAATTATTGTTTAACTATTACTTCAATGAGAGGAGCTGAACATAACGTCCGATGTAATTTGAAATTAAATATAAACAACATTAAATAATTCACAAAAACTGGAATTGTCACAGGACTAAACATCTGTAAAATGCAGGACACAGAAATGTTGAAATTATCTAATATTGTCAACACGCTTTCCTCGGGTCCAGCTTAGAGTGATTACAAATGTGACTCAGTTGAGAGTAGTTTCTGCAGCTCAAATACAAAAATACAGTTTTACAAAACTAATTCTAGCATAAAAATACTAAAAACATGTAAATGTAAGCCATTAGTACCCCCTCAGCAGAGTGAACGTGGTGTACTTTACCACAAAGTTCTCCATATCGGGCTTGAGCACTGACCCCATACTCATTACTGCGACCGTACAGGGATGAGGAGTGTGATTCGAACCATATGGGCTCAAACAGGCAAGAACTTTTTACACACTTTTCTCAAAAGAATAAAACCACAGTTTACTTCCCCCTCATGTTACCTTTTTGCTGACAGCCTTTAGGTGGATAAAACCTGTGCGTCCTGGTCGTATTTGCAGTTTCAGTGCCGAAAGCGGCGGTTTTTCAACGTGGGAAATGTTAGCGCTTAGCCCGCTTAGAAGGGAGCTCCTCCGATTTCTGTGCCCCCCGCGTCCGCACCACAGGGGGACTGCTCTCCCGCTTACGGCCCCTGGTCCCACCACCACCTCCAACACCACCGCTGCTGCTGCTGGGAAAACAAGGAGCAAGTGTCAGTCTGTCCGCGAGTGTCACGTTTAAGTGCTGTAAAAACTTGTCTTTGTCGATTCATGGATTACACGCCGCCAGCGCCAAAGTGGAACTGACGGGGCTACATGAGAGGGGTCAGAGGGAGAAGGACCTGCGTTTTCAAATACGACATTTGCATTCCGGATCGCTGAATAGGCTGCTTGTTGAAGTTTGATTTTTAATGTCTCCACACTTCAGACAAATATGAAACGTGAGTTTAAACTATGACCTCACAATCATCTGAGAATGTGTTGACGTAAAACTGGATCCAACGTCTAGAAAATGGGTCCAAGTAAAAGTGCAACAAAAAAAGTGCTGGAAGTAAGTAATATGGATTCTGACTTGATTTAGTAAAACTGGCTAAAACCTGTAGAAAATGTACAGACAAATGGACTGTTTATGTGGATTGTTGAAAGGTACAGTAGGAGATTTTTGTATTGTTTCAAACCATGCACAGGTTCTCTTGTTTTCCTTCTTTATTATATAAATTATTCTTTGTATATATTGAGCATGTTTGAAATAAATAAACAAATAATAATAATAAAAAAGATGAATATCTGCAAAATATGACAGTAAAAAGTGCGAGTGTAGGAGTGGACTAAACATTTATGATTATTATCGTCTTATAATGGAATTCTCTTAAGACGATATCTTTCATTTTAAGGGAAAAGAATGGTTGGTTTACTTCATCAGATACAGGTCATATGTGAGCACAGAACAGCCAAAATAACTAGTGTTTGAAGAAAGTAAATATATCCATTACAGTAGTGTTCTTGTGTGGCGCACCTCTCCAGACAAGCCTTGAGTTCCTGTGACTTTTCTTTTTGGCTAGATTCTTAAACTCATGAATTCATGTCTATAATACTTACTTTGATATTTTTTGTTAGATTTACCATTTATAGCACCATTTATACAATTGATTTCATACGTTTTCTATTTACAAATCTGCATTCTTGTTGGATCCCTGTAGACAAATACACAATATCCACAGTCATCACCCCCTGCTATCGGGATAATAATGACCAAAAGACAGATGACAACTCTGTTTATGGCACAGTTACACAAAGACAGACAGGCAGACACATACAGTGGGGAAAAATAGTATTTAGTCAGCCACCAATTGTGCAAGTCCTCCCAATTAAAAAGCTGCGACATGTCCGTTATTTTCTTCATACTATCTGAGACAAAATTAGGGGAAAAAAAAAATCAAAATGCAACTTGACATGCAACTTGGTAAAAACATTGAGTTTTTACAAATAAGTTATATTTGGGTGTCATCTGACCATTGGACATTCTCCTAACCCTATTCTGGATCATCATCATCATCTCTCCCTGGACATGCACTGGCTAAAGCAGGAGACACATCAGGCATTGCATCCAAAGACTACTATGCCTACTATGAAGCATGGGGGTGGAACATCATGTGTTGGGGCTGTTTTTCTGCAACAGTACAGAAAAACAGCACCAATTGGTAGGACGATTGGAAAGGAAAGCATGAAAGGGGCCATGTACAGTATCATTATTTTGAGAGAAAACCTCCTTCCATCAGCAAGGATATAGAGTATAAAACATGGCTGGCTCTTTCAGCATGACCAGTCGCCCGGGAAACAAAGGAATGACTTTGTAAGAGGCATTTCAAGGTCCTGAAGTAGCCTATAGACTGCAGATCTCAACCCAATAGAAAATCTTTGGAGGGAGTTGAAAGTCTGTGTTGCCCAGTGACAACCCCAAATTCTCACTGCTCCGGATGATCAAAAGAATGGGCCAAAATACCAACAAAAATGTGAGAAAAACTCTTACAAAAAACGTTTGATATTCTTCTCTATATTTCTTTGTTATTTACCCTTTGTTGGCAATGACTTAGATCACAGAGATATTGAGGTGGACTTACTACTACTTCGCCACCATTATTTTCAAAACAAATTCTTCAGAAATCAGTTATTTTCTGGATTTGTTTGTCTTATTCTGTCCCTCATAGTTGAGGTATACGCATTTTTTAAAATGGGAAAACTTGCACAACTGGTGGCTGACTAAATACGTTTTGCCCCCTTGTAGTAGATGTTATCATCATAACATAAGTTTAGTACCAAACAATGGAAGATTACATCCAATATCCAGTGTTTGATGATAACTAATATCAATAAATATGAACCCAGTAACCCAGCAACTTGAAAAGTAATGAAAAATGTAAAAAAAATAATCTTAAGGCTGCCGTTTATTTTGTTTGCTCAAATGTTATGTTTAGTTTAAAATTCCAGGAAAAACGCAAAACTGTTCTTCCTCCGTAAAGCCATATTGGGGTCGGCTGTGATACGACCAGCCCGGCCTCGAGCTCGGGCGACGTACAGGTCCTGCAGCGATGGAAGGCTGCGGCCGATCACTTCCTCTGCAGAGCGCACAATGCGCTGTAGTCTCTGTTTGTCCCTGACTGTGGCTCCAGCGAACCACACGGTGATGGAGGAGGTGAGGATGGACTCGATGATGGCCGTGTAGAACTGCACCAACATCTGTGCAGGCAGCTTGGCTTTCCTGAGCTGCCGCAGGAAGTACATCCTCTGCTGGGCCTTCTTGATGAGGGAGCACGGAGTCGTGGCTGGAGGTGCAGTGGTTGGTGTACAGGGAGAAGAGCAGGGGAGAAAGAACACAGCCCTGTGGGGCTCCTGTATTTATAATCCGAGAGTCCGAGACATTCTTCCCCAGACGCACTCGCTGCTTCCTGTCCGTCAGGAAGTCAGTGATCCACCTGCAGGTGGAATCGGGCACGTTGAGCTGGGAGAGCTTGTCCTGGAGCAGGGATGGCAGGATTGTGTTGAAGGCAGAGCTGAAGTCCACGAACAGGACCCTGGCGTAGGTCCCCGGGGAGTCCAGGTGCTGTAGGATGTGGTGGAGGGCCAGGTTAATGGCGTCGTCTACAGATCTGTTGGCTCTGTAGGCGAACTGCAGGGGGTCCAGGAGGGGGGAGGTGAGGGACTTGAGATGGGAGAGAACCAGGCGTTCAAATGACTTCATGACGACAGACGTAAGTGCTACAGGTCTGTAGTCATTGAGTCCTGTGATCCTGGGCTTCTTCGGGACGGGGACAATGATGGAGGATTTGAAGCAGGCCGGGACATGGCAGGACTGCAGAGAGGAGTTGAAAATGTCCGTGAACACAGGAGTAAGCTCACTGGCGCAGTGTCTCAGAGTGGCCGGAGACACGTGGTCCGGGCCAGGAGCTTTGCGGGGGTGCAGCCTCAGGAAGAGTTGTTTAATCTCTTTAGCGGCTATTGTTAGGCTGGGGGCAGGGCTGATGGGTGGGTCGTTAGAGTAGTGGGGGGTGGGGGAGGGAGAGGTGTCAGGGGCAGCATCAAAGCGACTGAAAAATAAGTTCAGATCGTCAGCTAGCTTGTGGTCATCAGCACAGGGGGGGGCTTTGGGTTTGTAGTTGGTGATCTCCCGTAGGCCCCTCCAGACAGAAGCAGTATCGTTGTTACCAAACTGCTCCTGTAGTCGTTCTCTGTGCCGGGACTTGGCTGCTTTCAGTTCTTTCCTGAACTGATATTTAGCTGCTTTGTAGCCGCTGCGGTCCCCCTCCCTGAAAGCAGACTCCTTTGCTTTCCTGAGCTGCCGGAGTTTAGCAGTGAACCAGGGTTTGTCGTTGTTATAGATGACCCTGGTCCTTGTTGGAATGATGCTATCCTCACAGAAGTGGATGTATGACGTCACAGTGTCCGTATATTCATCCAAGCTGTCTGTGGCAGCTCTGAAAAGGTCCCAGTCTGTAGATTCCATGCATGCGCGCAGCTCTTCCACAGCTTCATCAGACCACACTTTGGAGCTCCTCACTGCAGGTTTCGAGAGCTTTAGTCTCTGTCTGTAAGCAGGAACCAGATGTATCATGGAGTGATCTGAGAAGCCGAGGGCTGGCTTGGGAACAGCGCGAAAAGCTCCGCGCACGGTGGTGTAACAGTGATCCAGAGTGTTCTCTCTGGTCGGGCATTTGATAAACTGTCTGTATTTGGGTAATTCCTGGCTCAAGTTTCCCTTATTAAAATCCCCCAGGATAATAATCAGAGAGTCCGGGTATAAGCGTTCCATACACAGTACTTGCTCTGCGAGTGCGCGCTGAGCCTCGCGCGCGTCCGCGCATGGCGGTATGTAAACAGAGGCAAGAATGAATGAAACAATTTCCCGCGGGGAGTAATATGGTTTACAATGAATGAAAAGATATTCCAGAGCAGGAGAGCAGTGCTTGGAGATCACTGTCACATCGTTACACCAGTTTGTATTGACGTAGAAACAGAGCCCTCCGCCTCTGCTCTTCCCTGAGAGCGCACAATGGCGATCCGCGCGAAACAGCCCAAAGCCCTGCAGCTCCAGAGCGCAGTCCGGGATCCGCTCATTTAGCCAGGTCTCAGTGAAGCAGAGGACACAGGATGTGGCGAAGTCCTTGTTTCTTCTCATGAGCAGGCTGAGTTCGTCCATCTTATTGCCCAGTGAGCGTACGTTGGAGAGAAAAATGCCGGGGAGAGCCGTGCGCGCTCCTCTCCTCCTAAGACGCACGAGCAGGCCTCCTCGCTTTCCCCTTTTACGGGCCCACACTTTTTTGGCTAGAACATGAACTAAATCAGCCGCAGATGCCAAGAAAACAGGCAATAGGTCCATGGGAACGGTGGGTCGGATGTTCATAAGTTCCTCACGGGTGTAGGAACAGCCAGATGCACAGTTAAAAAGTAAAAACAAAAGAAAAAGAGAGCAGCAAAGAGCCATGTCGACCGTACGAGGCGCCGTACGAGGCGCCATCTTGTAGGATTTTTTATATATATATATATATATGTGTATATCTATCATATTTTATTGGTAAAGCCATTTATGGACAGTGGCTCTAAATGTTGTAATGTTGATTCTGATTCTGATTTCAGTGTAGTTTGTTTGCACCTGAATCTTCCTCTTTTGTGTCTGAATCCTCGGTTGATGCTTTCGGCCGTCCTCTCCGCGTGGATCTCTTTGGGCCTGTATCCTGTTCCTCTTGTTTTTCGTCTTCAGTCTGAAAAAAAAATAAAAATCAGAGCTTAACTGAGTGACAGTCTGAAAGTCTGAGACAGGGACTGGCCTCCTGCTGGTAACCAGAGTCAGGACTAAACATGGACCAGTCTAAAATCTGGAACAGTCTCCCTGAGTTTGTAAGACACATTAGAGCTAATATAGATCACAATACATCTGAACTTCCCAGGAAAAAGTTGAAGGTTATTGAGATTTCATTTATTTTTCTGCCTTATAATATAACACATTATAATTTCAGGGGCTTGTATAGTTTCAAAATAAAAAAGCTGCACACAACATGAATCTTTTGTGCAACCATCAGTTGGGGTGAAACATTAATTTAATTTTTGGATAAAAAACTATACACCAGTATAGCAAAAGTAAATTCCTTACATCACTTTTAAACATGGTAGCGATGACTCAAAAAATAACTTCATACAAAAAAATAATGTTATCATTTAGTAAGACTTTATTGTTCCTGTAGGAAATTACAGCAGCGCCATTTGCTATGCATTTCAGAAGCTCGTTTTGAACACGGCTAATGAAGGAAACTGATATTTATTTTGTAAAGACGGCTGGAGAAAGGGGTGGGGTTAAACATGTTTACTTCTTCCCCATTTGGACATATTCTTTCTTTACATGTTCATTTGCATAATGTTATTTTCTCAATGGCCAAATAAACACATTAATTCCTTCTTTTGATACTTGCTAAAATATGTATTTAGCGTTAGTTCTAACCACAGATCATAATTGATTAAAAGGATTTTCCACTTACGTCCTCCTGTTGTTCTGTGTCTTGTTTGCCTTCTGTCTCTGAAGGGGAAGAAAGAAAGAAGAAAACAACTCTAAACTGCTGTAACACTTTTTTGTAATTATGAAAGTGTTCTCACCCATTCCTGTGTCCTTCTCAGCATCATCTTGGACCAGCGGAGCAGCTTCCTGAAAACACATAAACATCAGCAAAACAACAGATTTTAAAGTAACCCTATGTGAGGAAGACAAACACAACCTGGAGCACGTCTTCGGCGAGCTGCTGCTGATGTTGTGGAGGTTCATCTGGAAGAACTAAGTCGTAACACAAACAAAACACAGTCATCACAACATTATGCATCATTTTCCCTGATTCCGTTTGCAAGCCTACTTATAGGTCATTTAATTTTTTTTTTTTGTTAATTTATTTTTTGAGCCATGCTAAAACAAATTAGCATGTGATATGAAATACACACCTGTGTTGGCATCAGTGATTTGTGAGAAGGATTCGGAGCTTCCACTGTGTTCAGCTGCAGAGACGACTGCATCAGCCGGAGTCGACTCTGCAGCTTCACCTTCAACCTAGAACAAATGGGAATGAAACGGTTGTAGGTCATATACAGTATGTAAAGCAGGGATGTCAAAGTCAAATACATCAGATAGCCAATAAACCAAATTCGCAACAAGCCAAGGGCCGGTCTAATGTTTATTAAAGCATATTAAAATGATTGCATATGACCATAAACCTAACACAGTGTATCATATTTTAATGATTAAATGAATAATCCAATATTTTTGTTTGCTCTGTAAGTAATTTCAAGTAAAACATTTTTCAACAGGCTCACACAAACAAAAACAAGGCTCACACCGACAAAAACAAGGTTCCTTCTTAGAGAAAACACAAGTCCTAAACATTAAATGAATGATCTTATGGCCGGTTCAACTACCAATTAAATATCATCCCGGAGGCCAAGATAATTCATTCATTCGTGGCCTGCATCTGGCCTTTGACTTGGACACCCATGCTTTAAAGCAAACCTGTAACTGCCTTGATTTATTGACTTTTTAATGTGAATGTAAAAATATAATATTTACAAATTGCAAACGCTATAAAGTGTATGCTTCACATCTTAAAACAGACATTAAAACGTATCCAGACAACTTGGGCACAGAACAATACTTTGGGCTCAGTAAAAGATTTTAACCCAAATGCGTAATCATCAAAATGAATACCAAATTGCATCCATGGCCATTTCTCAATATGCATTCTTGAAAAATGTTGATTAAATCATTTTGAAATGCTTGTGCTATGACATAACTGCATTATTGGTTTGAGAATTTCAAAGACCTAAAAAGGGGTACCGTTTGTTTGTCTATATTTATGCTTCAAATACTGTTCTATCCAAGAATCACGATTTAAAACTGAAGTTTATTATAAACTTGTATAATGCACAATGCACAAATTATTTTGAATTAAACAACTTTCCATTAAATGAGCTTCATTTCCAAAGTCTGTACTCGCACTGAATATCCAGAGTCAGAACTTTGCATGACAAAAGCTCACTTCATCTACACGAGTAGTGTACATCTACTAACATCTTTTCAAGAGCGTTTTTCTAAAATATCAAAACATAGTTATTGATCCTAACCAGCAGAAACACACTTGCAAACAGTGCATGTCTACAACATAGATTTTGAATTACAAACTGATTTTTTTCATACCAATAATTCTCTTAAAAGTCTCAACTGAGACCAGCTTTGTTAACTTCAAAACATCCATCCATCTTCTTTCCCTTAATCCAAGATTGCAGCTGCAGCATCTCTTTGCACACTTCGCTGATACAAGGGACTTCCATAATATTGTATTGAGAAATGGCCATTATATATTAAGTAACACTTCATCACAAATTACAATATTAAAGTCAAACCTGTTTCTCCTTTTCTGGATTTTCAGAGACAGACACAACATCCTCCTCCACAGCCTCTGATGGATCTGTAGAATATCATCCATTAAAAGTGATTCAAGCATTTTAACATAAAGCATAAAGGACAAATTCAAAAGAAAAGTGTGAGCAGTCTACCGTCTGTGGTGAGTTTGGCAGTGGCGGCCGAGCGTCTGCCTTTGCGTGTGGGTGTTTCAATATTTTCGCTCGTCTCTGACTCTTCTGTCCTTGATGAGCGTCCTCTTCTTGGGGTTTTGGCCTCTACATTTTCCTAAATAATGTGTATTTCTCCATTACTATTATTTTTCTTCCCACAAATACACTCAAACAATACACAATCATATATAAGGCCCTTACCTCCTTTTCACTTTCTTTCCCATCACCTTGAAGAAGAGAGAAGTGCAGAGGGAATGCTTAGTCAAATCTTGCTAATGTCATGAGACAAAGTGGTTATTGAAGTTACCAGATTCAGACAGGTTACGAGTGGAACACTTCCGCTTGCGTCTTCCTCTTCTCGAAGATTTCTCCTCCTTAAAAAGCAATTAAGGCGCAATTATGTTAAGACTGACCTCCAAATTTCCCCACTGTGGTACGATTAAAGGTTCTCTTATCTCATTTTGATAATAATAATAATAGTCATATTTTTTCACTTATTACAACAGTATACAAGAGTTTTGATGATCTATTGACACAGACGCTTTCACATTTTACCATGTGAATTCTGTGAAAACTCATTGTGTTCTTTTGAATGACAAGTTATATCTATTACCAAGACCTCTGGATGATTAGAACAACAAGGTACAAAACACAAAAACATTTTAAATCAACGAGACAATGATCCCAGAAAAAAAAAGTATTTAGTAGACATTTAGCGGTTCAGACAGGCCTGCATCCTCCGCCTGCTGAAGGAAGCTCCTCCTAAGCGTTGCCAATATTTTCGTTTACTTCAACCATCAAGGAAAATCAAGAGGAAAATGCCTTCTGCAGACTGTTGTAATGAGCTCAGTCTTAACATCACTGCACAAAAAGTCTCGTAACATATCACACAAGGCATTCAAATCATAAATAAGCACAGTGCATTACAAAGAGTGAGGAAATACAGGCCTCAAACTTGCAATTGATTTGATAATTTGTGTATGTCTTTTTCTATACTGGGGCCTCTAACCTTATTTTGATGTATACAGAGGATTCTAACCTGCATTTGATGTAAACTGTATCACAAAGACATTTCTACGTAAACATTTCCAAAAACAAACCTTTTCAGAGTCCCTTTCTTCTTGACTGTCAGTGCTGGACATAAGACCTACAATCACAAGTGACATATGTAGTCAAGAAACGAAAGTATTGTTAGGATTTAGGCAGACAGACATAACTTACTGGGTTCTTTTAGTAGTTTGGATTCAAGTCCCACATTCATTTCAGTCTGATCAACAATATCTGGCTTCTCCAAAGAAAAGGGAAAACAAGAGTCAACGAATAAATCTGAAATAGTTGAAAATAAAGTGCATGTTTTATGGAATGCTTACGATGAGTGGTTCACTTTGCTCAGGTGCAGCTGGTACATCCTCATGTTGCTTCGTTTCAACATCACCTAAAGTGGATAAAAAGGGTGAGACTTACCCCATAATACCGCATAAAATTCACGTGTAGTATTGCGACATTTGACTTGACAATGGTCTGTCCAACTTGAAATCATAAATCATAATATGTAAACTTCTTCTGTGATTAAAACCAGTAATAAGTTATATCAAGTCAAGAACCCTTTTTGCCTGGATTTATTTTGGTCCTCTACCGTCTTTCATATATTCTCAGCAACCCTCACCGCTGTTTTGCTGCACAGACATAACAAAGAGCTGCTAAACGACTACTCCCTAAATTTGTTGAATGAGGAATAATTCCAAGAAAAATCATTTACTTAAAAAAAAAAACACTAGCCCAAAAGTGTGGCCCGATTGTCGAGTTCCTATTTTGTGCCTCCAATGGGGAGAGAAATTTTAAAAAAAGATGACAAACAGGTAATTTACTTACTGGCACTTTTATCCAAGTCCATCTGGACTGTGGTCTCCTTTTGCTCCTGTAATAAATTAAATGTTATAATAAAGCAAAACATAACAAAACATAGCAAGAAAAATATCCCATTGACTTGAAATAGTAATGTCTTACTTCTGCGGATTTCTTCTCAGCCTCATAATCATTTTGCTCTGAAACCCACAAAATCACAACAGAATCATTGATGGATACTCATTTGTATAGAAACAACTAAAGCTAGGATACCAAACATCCAAACCACAATAAATGGGTATGTTATAAATTTTATCTGCAGAGACTTTCTCCTGCTCTCAAAACACAGTGGATTCTAGGGATGCACCTGGTATCCAATATTGTTTTATCTAAAAGTATTTTTTTCCTATATGCACTGTCTGGAGTTGAGTCGTTTTTATTTTTGAATGAAGAGAAGACAATACGTTTCATTTCTTCATTCATTTTACAGTTAAATGATCCTGTTTGTAAAATAGGAAATTAAAACAAATATGACAGAAGCACTTAGTTCCTACTTGAACTGACTCCTCTTTGAGATTTTATATAAAAAAAAATGTTGGAAATTGGCAAAATTGTTTTTGCAGTATTTTTGGGGGTTTATTTATCCTGTAATAATATTGAGATATTGTGATATAGAAAATTCTTTTTTTCCTACACATTGCCCAGCTTCCTATGCACCAAGTGTGTTTGTTAGTATTGTATTTCTGGTGTTCAAAGGGATTTCTTCTCTGATCTGTGTTGGCAAATCGACAACCTCTTTGTAAAGTAAGTAAGTAAGTAAGTAAGTAATCTTTATCTATATACTGCCTTTCACAGACCAGAGTCACAAAGCCTCAGAGCCTCAGAGCCGTGCTGCGCCCCTGATATACAATAAGATTTGAAATGAGAGGAGTGCAGGAGAATAGATGACGCCCTGTGCTTATTATACTTTTTTAAAAATATAATAAGCACAGGGCATCATCTGATCCGTTCACAAAATCTGAAATTCACAAATCTTTCTATTGGGACAAACATTATGTATTATTTAGGAAACAAAACTGTAAGGTACCCCAGAATTAATTGGTTTGCTCTTACCGGAAGTATTCATTGTGCTCTCCTCTGTAGCTGATTTTTCTTCAACCACTTCAACGTGTGCAGCTGTAACGCAAAATAAACAAGTGAGCATTTAAGCTTGAACTTTTAGATTTACACATGATGGTCATAATATTTTTTAACCGTCTTGTTTCGCCTCCACTGCTGTGACATCCTCCTGCAGTGGTGCGTGTTTTGTTTCTTCTTCCTCCTGTGCAGGCGTCTCATCTTTTACAAGTACGATACCCTGATCCTAAAGAACATACACATTTAAATACAAGTCTTTTTGGATTTTAAAATAAGGAGAAACATAACATGGACTACTTGAAGAGGCGTCTCTTCTTGTGGAGCTCCTGTTGACTTGTGTTCAGAAACATCTGAAATAACAAAATGACAAGTTTTTACAACAGCTAGCATGTCACTTTCTATAATAGTCCTTGAACTAAAGATTATTTACCAAAGCAATTATTATTTTTCCTTCAATCAAGCAGTTTTGAGTGGGACAATGACTAAGGTAAAGGGAAAGGAGCACTTTATGAATCCCTGTTGGGCAATTCATAAAGGTTAAAAAATACCTCTTTATTGAAAATGTTCTATCTTCTTACGGATAGAGGGCATATAATTTACTGTCTATTCAACAGATGCATGCTCACACACTTACACAAACACATACACAAATTAAATGTGTAGCCATTTCCGCGAGGGGCAGATTAGAGCGGGTGAGGCTACGCTGTAAAATAGATACACGGCTTGTGCGTCACCAGCGACTACGACCACTACTACCACTACCACTACTAATACTACTACTTCAGAGAGGAGATTAAAGGACAAAGCATGGTTCTGTCTGCTTTTTTTGATTCATGTCCGACACCTGTGGCTCATTATGATATACTCAGAACATTAGAATTCACGTTATTGAGCTGAAACATTGTTCTACAAGAGAGAAGTCTGCACAATTCCGTATTCCGTCCAGCTGTTTGTATGTGCGCTTGAGTTGCGATGCGTGGATATTGTTTTCCTTTGAGTAAAAATTATAATTATTCGCATCTGATAGATTTAGAAAAGAGGAGGCAGGGAAGAGTAATGTCCTCTTGCATATAAAAGAATATTCATGACTCAAACATGTATGAATCAAACAAAAAGCAACTGACTAAATAACAAGGGGAAACAGCAATTAACCAGTATTTTACTTTTTGGATTATTCTATCAGCCTGAACGTCTTCTCATCTGGCTGATGTGCTATTGTGGCATGTTAAACCAATTTAAACAATGATTTTCTGAGACGAATAATCTACCAAAAAAAGGAATAAAGGAATATCCAAACCTATAATCAAACAAAATACCGTCCACAACAAAATTAATATATTATGTTGCCGTTTTCTTTTGTAATAACCTAAACATCCTGAATTGCTAACATGCCAATTAGCATTCATATCAACCCCATCTATTTGCAACTTCTTGAAAAATAAAAAAATAAATACAGTGATAATCAGTCTTTTAAAAGCGGCTATTGGAGAGTCAAACTTTGATAAACATTGATCGGCCACAAAAACTCGTACCGAATAACCTAGTAAAAATCACTGAAAAGTCATGCATATGAGAAACCCCTTTCATTGATTCTCTTGCCTCAAGTTGAAACAACACGTTAATAAACATTGTACCTGTCAAATCAGTGATCTCTGGTTTCACTTCCTCCTCTGCACGGGACACTTCCTTCTCTACAGTCCCTGAATTTCCCGCTTGTCCAACCAGGCCAGACGTGGCACTCTCTGGATCCATGGAGAGCAGTGTGAGCGCCGCCTCCTTCATGTCTTTCATATCCGCCTCCCGTTGAGCCACGTCGACAACCACGGGGGCCGGTAGCCGTGCGTCCGCCGCTGTGCACACGCTCATGAGCGCGAGCAGTGCATCGGCCTCAGCTGGAATGGTAGCAGCTGATATCTTGGAGTCTGTTTCGCTTTCTGACGGCTCTGGGGTGACGTCGCTTGTAGTTTCGTCTGATATAGTGGCAGTGGAGGTGATCAGACCTGGGTTTGTCTCCGGAGTAACAGGTGTTTTCTTCTTCTCCTCTGACTTTGTTTCCTTTTCCAGTTTGGAGGATTTTTCTTTTCGGTTGTCGTCTTTGTCCTCAACATCCCTTTTATCCGTTTTCTTTTTCAAACTTTTCACTTCAAGCTTGTCCTCTTTCCTCTGTTCCTTTTTGCCTTCCATTTTTTTCTTCTCCTTTGTTGCATCTGCTTTGATATTGGGTGAACTTGCTGATACACTAGGCGTTCTCTTGTCAATTTTGGAAAGATTTTTACAATCTTCTTTGGATTTCGCCTTACTTTTGTCCTTCTCTGCAATTTTGGACTTTTTGGAATCCTTCTCACTTTCGTGTGCCGATTTGGTGGATTTCTGTGGATCACTCGTTTTAGCCTTTTCCTTTTCAGCATCTTTGGATTTAGTTTTTTCATCAGAATGACTCTTCATTCGCTTCAGGACCTCTTTGGGATGCTTGTCTTTCTTTTTGTTGACATCTGAGACTGGATCCAGGTCAGATTTGTCTTCAGAGGACCCGCCAGACTCTAGACGAACCAGCTGTTTTGTATCCAAGACTTTAGCTTTCTCCACTTTTGCTTTATCTTTATCCTTTTCCCGAATTTTCTCTTTTTCAGATTTGTGCTCCGCTGATGAGACTTTGACTTTCTTTACTTCTTTAGAGCTCACCTCTGCTGTGTCTTTTTCAATTCTCTTTTCAGTTTTGTTTCTTGCCTTCTTATCTTCCTTTACAGACGTGCTTTCCTTTTGGGCAGTCTCAGGATCTGCTTGCTTCTGTTTGAGTTTAGGCCGCTGGTTGGACTGATGCCGGTCCTTTTCCTTGCGTTCTTTCAAAACAAGCTCTTTGCGGGACGGACGGTCAAATTTGCTTACGGAGCGATACTTGAGGGCTTCTTGCGACCCTTGCTCCAACTCCAGTATGAAGGAGTGCATGCGGTTTTTATCGCTGGTCTTTTTTGGCTCGGCTTCCTCCGGAACACTGCCGCTTGCACGCCGGCTTTTCTCGTCGGAAGAAGCAGACTCCGACATGCGCCTCGAGAGCTTCTGCTGTAGGGTTTTGGAAGAGGCGGGCTTCACCTCCTTGTGGGAGTGAAAAACATGAGAATAGTTCTTAAAAATGACAAACATACTGTGTCTTACAAGAAACAAAGCTTTAATGTGACATACAACTTTCTTTGCGCCTTCTCCAGTTTCTTTCTTCTTGCTTGTTACATCTTCCTCTTTCCTGTTGATCAACCAATTCACAATTAGTACACAATCAAAGGTCCATATTTTGCAATAAGACAAAATTATTCTTAAACAAATTTCATAGACCAAGGTGTCCCAAAGAGCTTTACAATGTTTTTTTTTTCATGCTATCATCACCAACCATTCAATCACTCAAAAATGTAAGGTCGGTGAAATCCAGTTTTGGATTCAGACGAAAGGCAAATTCTCAATTTTCAGTCAGCTCAGGAAACAGCAAATATTACTGTATTGAGATTGTATCAAACAACGCTGCTTTAGAACAAACATGCCAACAGTCACACAAATCTGAACTCTGAACATTGTAAAGCACTTTGGGTGACCTTGGTCTGGAAAAATTACTTACTTACAAAAGGAAAAAAAACATTCCTTACCTAGAATCCAACTTCCTCTTCCTGTTTAAAGCCATTTTCTTTTCCAGAACCTTTTGTTCTTTTCTTGCCTCCTTGGCTCGTGGATGCTCAGTCGCATCAGCGCTCTTTGAATTTTTCTTATCTAAGTAAAGATGAAGCACTAAATAATACAAAATTCTGAGGACAAGGAAATCTTAAACATACTCTGTTCTTCATTCTGTGTGGCCTTCTGCTTACGCCTCTCCTCCATTCGCTCTCGGTTTTGTTGCCTCTTCAGTAATCTATCCTCTTTGTCCTTGGCCTGCGATTGCAAAACAAGAAATGTGTCATTCATAAAAAATGCCTCTATTGGCTGCAGAGACCATATCTACAAGAAACAATCATAAAATCATTCCATACTGGTATAAATATTCAGTCAATACAAACACTAAGTCTTTTAGTATGTACATTTATATATAGAAAAGGATTCATTTTACATAATGACAGCATTATAAGGTAAGCCTTGTTCCACTGCACTGGTGGTCAAGAGGTAAATATTGATCAAAACTGGAAAGTATGAATCTTAAAAAGTGCAAATATCGGTTTGGTGTTTGTTGCACTGACCACTGATCGGCGGCGCTCCTCCACCGTGACCTCATCATCAGAGTCACTATAGTAACGAGAATACAGAAAGGGCTTGTGCACATAGGCCTTTCTCCGAGGCTTCTGCTTTTCCTCTCCTTCCTCACCGGCTTCGTTTGTATTTTCATCTGTTGGAGGAAGAGGGTGCTGTAGTCAGATCAGACCAAATTTTTACTTTTTGGCCAAAATGCAAAACTCTGTTTAGCGAAAAAGAAACACTGCACTCCTGAAAACACGATCAAACATAAGAGTGGTTGCATCGTGCTTTTCTTCAGCAGGGACAGGAAAGCTGGTTAGAGTTGATGGGAAGATGGGGGGAGCCGAATACAAGGCAACCTTGAATAAAAACTTGATGGGATTGGCAAAAGACTTGAAACTGGGGCTTGAATGAAAACCTGCAGCCACACGACCCTTTCTGGAACAAGTTTAAACCTCTGTACTTTTTATTATTACTTATATTTGTATCAGTACTTTTATGTCAATATCGTCAAAGCACACAAAACAGAAATCCCCACCGTCCTGGATCTCTCCTTCTTCAGAGGAATCGGAGGGCGTTTGTCCGTCGTCACTTTCGTCTTCAAAAGACGACAGGTCACTGGTGTGGACAGAGCTCACTGTGATGTCACTCAGCCCGTCCAGATCCGAGTCCTCCAAGGAATATTCTGCACAACAATGAATACATAATAGGACTGCTCCATGTGGATAATATAGACATGTTATCTTTTTCATTTTTAACTTCAATAACTTCTGTGTTAAATGTTTAACTTGATATCAATCTCTTGTATCTATGCATCAATGTATCTATCCATGTTATTGTGTGTGCATCAGTTAGGAATAGAATAGTAAAATTAGAATAGTACATATGGTCCCCCTAAAGGTGTATGTACACTTCTGATTTCCACTGAATTGGTCTGTGTTTAAATGTTGTGCTTTTTTAAATTGATGCTATTTCAAACTGTCCTTTTCATAGTAGCTGGCCGGATTTAAAACAAGTGCATAATCTACTCTAGACCAGAGAGAAACAACCTCGGGGGCTTCAAAGATCACAGGGGCTATGCAAAGCTTTAACTGGTCTAGGGGTCATACACATTTTGCAAGTTAAATAGTAGAATAATTGTGCTCTGCAAACAAGCATGCGGTACACAAAACATCAAAAAGTTTGGCAACAACTATCTAGTGACTAGTAATTAAGAACTAACAAATTAAAATTGCTGAGGTGAAATTAGGGGTGGGTTACATACATTTCAAACCAAAATACATTAAACTGTGCAGCAGTTTCTCAAAACTGTATTGTATTTTGTAGCTTTTATTCAGACAATGGAGTGAAAAGGAAAGGACTCCATCACCCACCCAATTAGCTCGCAGCCCAAAGAGTCCAATAGTGACTCACAGACAAGCACGCATGTTTTCAAATGAAATAGCACCAAAGCAGGGCAGGGCCTGGTTAAACCTGTGATGGAGACCTCTGGGAACATCAAGTCCCACAGTGAGGTGGCTGTAAAGTACCCAAAAATTGTTGTGTGCTTAGGCAAGACACTTAAACCACATTGCCTGGATGAGTCTGATGTATGCATAAAGGATGGTGGTGGTTGGAGGACCGAGAGCAAACACATGCCTCACTTCTGTCAGTCTGTCCCAGGGAAGCTTTGGCTACAGTAGTGGATTACAACTATTGTGTATGGACTGAATGAATAATGTCAGGTTATTTGTGTCATGAAAAACGTTATATAAATAGACTGCCATTTCATTATTATTATTATTATGTAGTGGTCTAATTTACTATGACAACATGAATTATTTATGGAACAGAGTTAGGTACCTTAGCTTCAACATTTAATAATTGTTTTATTAGCTCACCCTCTTTAATCCTCTCTCTGGCTTTCTGTTTGGCTTGAGTGGAGGACTTCTGCTCTTCGTCTTGTTTCTCTGCAGACATCTTGGCAGCCGCTTTGGTCGTGGATTTGTCCTTTTCCTCCATTGTTTCGTTGTGACCATCAGACACATCCTCCTCCATCTTCATCTCTTCTTTCACCTCCTCTTTGTCATTCCCAGGCTGCGCATTATTCTCACTCTTCAGCTCTGGATCTTGGACTTTGGACGTCAGCTTTTCTTTATCCATGTCTACGGATTGACAAACATGATTATCATTTTGTAGTAGACTTAATCACGATTTGACACAATACAGCACACATCTCACAAACCTAATATTAAATAAACAGCATTTAATAATATCATTGTAACAACATAATGTTAAAATGTTTATAAAGCCCAATGTAAAAATAAGAATTGTCTTGATTATATTTATATTTCCCACCTCTATCGGGGCCTGCTTGCGTCTTAACTTGAATGCTTTCCTCGTCCTCCACACGACTGGAGTCCTTATCATTTGCGTCTATGTCCATTGGTTCCTCTGATGGTTCGGCTTTGGGTCCCTTAACTTTCACCTCCTGGCTCAAATTAGTGATGGTGTCCAAGATTGCTGTGGCCTCCTTGTCCGTTGGGGGGAAAGGCGCGGTAGCTGAACATAACAAGAGCAAAAGAACACAATATAGTGATAGACGGTAGGGATGAACTCACAAACTAATCAAAAACTTGTTCCGCTTTCCTTCTGTTGACTGCAAGCTCAGGCTCAAAACAGTGGGAGCTGTTGGCTATAAGGAAGTAAATTTGCCATCTATACAGTATGACTACCTTGCCTGTATTGGTCCATAGGGGGAGTAGACCAACGTCCATGGATGTTGTAGAAGTTTAGAGTGTCCTGGATCATCACAACAGTACTTTTTATTAGACCACTAACAGTCTAACAGACCCTCCTGCATTGGCAAGGGAAAACTCTAAAATCCAGTGGGAGAAAATTGAGAAACCTGAGGGAGATCCACATTGAGAGAGGGACCCGCTACACACGGACTGCCGGGCTATAGATCCAGGATATAAATCAGGACTGGTCCAGGACTAAACAAGACGGAACCAGAACTGAACCAGGATCAACTCAGTCCAGAACTCTAGGACTTGACTGGACCAGGGAAATTGGTGCCAGATTTGAGCCAAGACTCTGGCAGAATTAATAATTGATGAGCAGAAGATTACAATTGCCCAGCGTCATTCAAATGACAGCCACAAAAAAATAATGCAATATACCAACCTTGTGTTATTAAGTAGTGCACCAATTTGTCTGCTTTACAGTCAAATATTTGTGATAAGAATATATAAAATATGGAAAAGGGCCTAAACCTGGTTAGATACTGTATAAGGTACAAACCCTGCTCAAGGGTTGTCGGTTCTGTGGCTGAGGGCAGGACATCGGGTTCATCCACACAACTTCCAGGCTCCAGAAACTGCCGGACTACCCTCTCCACCTGCGGCCGGAAGATGTGATTGATTTTTGGATCAACCACTTGGGCCACAATTCTGTCCACACCCTGCTCCAGCATCCCAGACCTGAGGGAAATAATTTGTCCAGTATGTTAAAGTTACAAATTGAAAAGTATCCATCCATCCATCCATTTTCTTCCGCTTTATCCGTTGCCGGGTCGCGGGGGCAGCAGTCTAAGCAGAGACGCCCAGACTTCCCTATCCACACACACCTCCTCAAGCTCGTCCGGGGGGACCCCTAGGCGTTCCCAGGCCAGCTGAGAGACATAGTCTCTCCAGCGTGTCCTGGGTCTTCCCCGGGGCCTCCTCCCGGTGGGACGTGCCCGGAACACCTCCCCAGGAAGGCGTCCAGGAGGCATCCTGAACAGATGCCCGAGCCACCTCAACTGGTTCCTCTCGACGTGGAGAAGCAGCGGCTCTACTCCGAGCTCCTCCCGTGTGACCGAGCTCCTCACCCTATCTCTAAGGGAGCGCCCAGCCACTCTGCGGAGGAAGCTCATTTCGACCGCTTGTATCCGCGATCTCGTTCTTTCGGTCATTACCCACAGCTCATGACCATAGGTGAGGGAGGGAACGAAGATTGACCGGTAAATTGAGAGCTTTGCCTTTCGGCTCAGCTCCCTCTTTACCACAACGGTCCGATACAGCCGAAATTGAAAAGTATTGTCGTAATTGTGTATGGTAACTCACTGCAAAACCAGCTGACGAATGTTGTTCCTCAGCTGATTCTTGTTCAACTGTGGGCTCCATGTGTGGTTGGAAAGGTGATTTGAGACAAAGTTGTCCACTCTTTGCTTGAGGTTTAAGTAAGCAGGCTGAAATATGTGCATAAAACACAATGTCAACAAAGCCGCATTGTATATATTAATAAAAATTATGCATTGGTTTAACACTCAAAGACACTTCACATGTCATTATTCTTTTACTCCATACACAGTGGTGATAAACGACTACTGTAGTCACAGCTGCCCTGGGACACCCTGACAGAAGCGACTAAGCGAGGCAACCAGTCTGTGGTATTGGCCCCTCTGACCACCGCCAACAAGACTCATTCTAGGCAATGCGGGTGAAGTGTCTTACCAAAGGACACAACGAACAATTTGGTATTTTACAGCCGCAGCCGCCCCACTGTGGCACCTGGTGTTCCCAGAGGTCTCCCATCACAGACCCACTTATCAAATGTACGATCAAACCCCCTCCAGCGTGTGACTGTGGCGCCCCTGAGCTGCTGACCACCTGCTTGAGCCATATTGGAGATTTATTTTCTTTTAATCAACAGCCTTATCTATTTAATTATTATTTTGAAAATCCACCCATCCATTCACCTTCTCCTTAATCCATTTCTGGTAACCCTATTCACAGAGCATTTCTTTTTTTCATACTTTTTTTGTTGTTGTTGAAAAAATAAGTATGAAGATAAGTGTAAAACAAAATAAGTATAATACTGTCAATACATTATTGAGGAAGATAAGATGATCACCTGTAGGCCTCGAGGCATCTGACACATTTCTTGGCACTACTCTACTCTAGCCGTGTATCCATTATGCTGTAATATCTGGTAACATATCCTAGATATCTTCCCACAACAAACCTGTATTCAGGGAAATTCCTGGGCAACCATGCCTTCAAGCGGCACTCTTGCCAAACACAGTCAATTAGAACTTTTTATTACCCGTTCGACCTGGATAGAACCATCTCAGCCAAGTTAGAACCAGGGCCAAAAAGGTACCAAAAAAGTACCAGGTAAGTAAAGCGGGAGGAGGAATCATTTCAAACAGGATAGAGTCGAGCCAGGTAGAGCCAAGAAGGGCTGGTGGAAACGGGGCTCAACATTTTCCTTTAGCACAAATAGTTTCATACTCAGCTAAGACCTTTCAGCAGAGATAGGTTTTAATGATCTCTAAATATAATATGTATCTTGTTTTTATTCCTACAGCTCTGTTATATGTGCGGGAACACAGACAGAGATACTCATTAGATCTTATCTTTTCCCCAAATGTTTCGGGAAAACGTTAAACAGATGGATAACATTACTTGCTCAAAAAGTAATACAACTTGAATAAAAAAGATACAACTTATTCTGTGCTAATATAATCACGGTGTGAAGCAATAACAAACCATCAGTTATTATGAAGCAAGACAAGACAGAGCAGTACAATGTAAAGTGACATGTACCTTGGTATCCACGTCTGCCAAGCACTCCCTGCGAAACTGGTCAAACAAACCCTGTGTTTTGAGATGGTTCACGATCATCGAGACCAGCTGCGGGTCTCCTGGAGCCAACCCCGCCATTTATGATCCCAAAGCACAGAACAGCGGTAAGAATACAGGGAGTAGAGCAGAACCCGCGTCTGTTTTGTTTTCGTTCGTGAGTTTCGCAGAATTACCCCGGAAGTGAACGATGAAACCCCAGAAGTAAATTGCCAGTTGTATTTTCAGAATAAAAATAATAGTTTTGCTCTGGCTCAACGAGTAAGTTAATATTTACAGTTTGTGCTAATTCCCTTTCCGTGTTGCTCTTGATTAGATAAACATAGAAGATACTTAAAGCTTGAACTCCAAAGCGACAAGAGAAAATATTGAGTTCTCACGTTTATCATCATAAGACGTATGTGTTACAGCCACAGCCACAGCTCGCCAGTTCCCCCCAGTGACGGTAAGAGGCACGACAAGAAGAGGCCCGGATAGAATGACATGTGGTGCAGAGTGTAAATATTAGTTTGTGCAGCGCACAAACAGGACAGTGGCAAAAATACCCAAGATTTACAAAAGATAAGTTCTTTAGACCAAAAGCATGTAAATACACTTTAGCAGCTATATATATATATATATGATGTAATATTGTGATTTTTGTATTTGCTTATTTACATTACATTTGGGTAATCTTAATATTATTTTGGAGTGAATATTATTTCTTGATTTTTCTGTTATTAATTCATATTGTTTTTATTATTATTGGTTCAACACTGTCATCGAGAGAGAGAAAGAGGAGAGAGAAGTGATGATCAGGACACTTTAGCATTCTACAACATGTATGGACATTTTCTTCTGTGTGTGCTTTATATTCTTCATGTGTTTTAACTGTTGATTCTCTGACCTGTGTTGGTGATTTCAATGGTTTTGTTAAGTCCTCTGAGATGACTTCTGTTGTTACCTAGGGCTATACAAGAATAAATTGTATTGTATTGTATTGTATTGTGTGCGCGTGAGTCAGAGTGGAAAATAAACCGAAGAGCTGAACTTTTACTGTCCTGTCGTTTGGTTAATTTAGCAAGGAAAACTTCGAGATAGAACACTGTTTTTTATTATAAATTGTACCCCGCACACCCACAGCCTCAAGAACTGGTGAGCAACAAGAAAACAGGGTTACATATACAGTGGGGCAAAAAAGTATTTAGTCAGCCACCGATTGACACCAGTTCTCCCACTTAAAATAATGACAGAGGTCTGTAATTTTCATCATAGGTACACTTCAACTGTGAGAGACAGAATGTGAAAAAAAATCCAAGAAATCACATTGTAAGATTTTTAAAGACTTTATTTGTAAATTATGGTGGAAAATAAGTATTTGGTCATTTCAAACAAGGAAGATCTCTGGCTCTCACAGACTCTTCTTTAAGAAGCTCTTCTGTCTTCCACTCGTTACCTGTATTAATGGCACCTGTTTGAACTCTTTATCTGTATAAAAGACACCTGTCCACAGCCTCAAACAGTCAGACTCCAAATAGTCAGCTGCAAATAGGGTTTGACCCCAAAAAAATTCTAACAAAAGATTTTTCAGTGGTTTACAATAGTACCAGATGTACTTAAAAACATACTAAAAGTTTACCGAAGTTTGACTCCAAAAAAGGCCCCGTTTTCAAAATGGTGGCCATCAGGTCCTTAAAATGACCATTACTCCTTTGTATTTCTCCTAGACCATGAATACTGGTGTCTGATATCTGTTTTGGTCATAAAATATTCTAATTAGTATATTTGCATGAAAAATAAGTGATTACAAGTACAGTTATATATTAAAGCAATTGGTTATAAGTATATGTATGTGAAAAAGAAGTACAATTTCCCTTAAGTAATCCCGTATTTATCTTTTATCATATTTTTCCTAGTGTTGGTGGTTTCTGTGGTTCATAACCATTATTTTGATTCCAATAAAGAATAAATTCATTAGAGCTGTGTGGTACCGTAAAATTAGTCAAAACAGGGCTGCGGCGTGAAGGATCAGTACTGCCCTTGTGTTTTTTGGTGTTTTTTTTTTTTTTATATCAATATTTTTATATATTTTATAATGTGTTTTGTTTTGTTTTTCGCCTTTTGTTTTGAATATTTATATATATTTTTTATTATTTTATTATTTATATCTTTTTCTATTTTCTTCAGTTGTTTCTTCTTACTGTCGCCCACCAACTGAGCGACAATAGCTCAGTTGGTGGACGACAGTAGCTCAGTTGGTAGAGCAGTGGCCTTTGGGCCTGAAGGTTGTGCGTTCAAGCCTACCACGAGACCTACTTCATGACTCCAACTGATGTCTGCTGTTGTTGTGTCCTTGGGCAAGACACTTAATCACACTTTGCCTGAAGCCCCTGCTGAATAATCAAGGCTCCTGTGGACTCACCACCTGCAGGAGGATCAGTGAGGGGCTGGTGCTATGTGTACTGGGTGCAGCTCTGACTGCCACCCCGACCCAGAAATGGATTTAAAGACCTTATGACGGGTTTGATTTATTTAGAAATACAGTTTTAATACCATTTTATATTAGAAGAGAACTACTAAAGGTTTCAAAATCAGTTGTTGTTTTTTTTTGTCTGATCCCCCCAAATCGAAACAACCCCATAGCAACGCCCTTAGAAACGAAAAAACTTCACAGCCCTTGGTGACGTCAGAACGGGTACGTTTCAACGCTGTAAGTTGTTTACAATTTGGTATTCGTTCTTTTTTCGCGGATATTCAAGATGACAAGGCCGTGTACAGCGAGTCTAAGATAAGTACTAGAAAATAACATTTCGTTGTCACTGAGATAGTCCAGTGGTTGTGTCGATGGACTGCCAATCCAGATACTTGGGTTCAATTCCCACCTCGGACACTTTTTCACACTCAAAACGGCAATTTATGTGTAGTGAGCAATTGTCACCTGTAGAGTGCAGTATTGTGTTGGGCATCAGTGGCGAGAAGAGAGAAAAGGCAGTCCTGTGGCATAGATCCATGGTTTTCAATGCATGGGCGTAACCCGCTATGACGTCACACACAGGTTAGAGCATAGACAACTTAAATTCATGAAAAACACGTTCTTTTTATAAAATATAGGATTTTTTTTGCCGGAATCTCTTTCAAATTGACATTGTCATGCAATTTTGATATCCACTTTTTTTTTTTTTTAAACCCGTCATAAGGTCTTTAAGAGAAGAAAATGGATGGATTTTTCTTCTTATTCAAAGAGCATGTGGAAGGAGCCCGAGTTCCTTGAAAGAGATTGAAAGATACCGATTAGAGATACAGTCGTCGGCCTCACCTCTACACACAGCTTGGGCTCTGGAACCCAACTCCTTGAGAGGGGTTGGACGCCCCACTTTTCTGGTGTTTCTCCCAGGGAGAGGCGGCGAGCGGGGGTGGCCCCCCCATCTCAGCTCCACATGTTGGAGTTCTCCCAGTGAATGAGAGGGTCGCGTCCCTCCGCCTTCGGGTGGGGACAAGTCTCTCACTGTTGTGATGGCCTACGGGCCTAACAGCAGTGCAGAGTACACAGCCTTCTTGGAGTCTTTGGGAGGGGTACTGGAGAGTGCACCGTCCGGGGACTCCGTCATTCTCCTGGGGGACTTCAACGCCCATGTGGGAAATGCCAGTGACACTTGGAGAGGAGTGATCGGGAAGAACGGCCCCCCTGATCTGAACCCGAGCGGTGTTCAGTTGTTGGACTTCTGTGCTAGTCACAGTTTGTTCATCACGAACACCATGTTCCAGCACAAGGGTGTCCACCAGTGCACGTGGCACCAGGACATCCTAGGCCGGAGGTCGATGATCGACTTTGTTGTCGTATCATCTGACCTTCGACCGCGTGTCTCGGACACTCGGGTGAAGAGAGGGGTGGAGCTGTCAACCGATCACCACCTGGTCGTGAGTTGGATCCGCTGGCGGGGGAGGAAGCCGGTCAGACCTGGCCGACCCAAGAGTGTAGTGAGGGTCTGCTGGGAACGTCTCACTGAGCCCCCGTCAGACGGACTTTCAACTCACACCTCCGGGAGAGCTTGTTCTCTTCCTCTATCGCCAATGCGGCAGCTCGTAGCTGTGGTCGCAAGGTCTCTGGGGCTGGTCCCGGCGGCAACCCCCGAACCCGGTGGTGGACACCGTCAGTAAGGGATGCAGTCAGGCTGAAGAAGAAGTCCTATCGAGCCATAATGGTTCGGGGGATTCCTGAGGCAGCTGTCCAGAACTGGCAGGCCAAGCGTGCCGTGGCCCGGGCTGTTGCAGAGGTAAATCCCCAGGACTGGGAGGAGTTCGGAGAGGCCATGGAGCATGACTATCGGTGGGCCTCGAAGAGATTCTGGCAAACTGTCCGGCGCCTCAGGAGGGGGAAGCAGTTCTTTGCCAACTCCGTGTACGGTGCGGATGGAGAGCTGCTGACCTCGACTGGGGATATTGTCGGGCGGTGGAAGGAATACTTCAAGGTTCTCCTCAATCCCCCGTCACGTCCTCCGTCCCGGAGACAGAGGCTGAGGATGTTGGGGCGGATACTTCCATCTCCCTGGCTGAGGTCACCAAGGTGGTTGGCAGCCTCCTTGGTGGCAAGGCGCCGGGAGTGGATGAGATCCGTCCTGACTATCTTAAGTCTCTGGATGTTGTAGGACTGTCTTGGCTGACATGTCTCTGCAACATCGCGTGGCGATCGGGGGCGGTGCCAATGGAGTGGCAGACCGAGGTGGTGGTCCCTCTCTACAAGAAGGGGGACCGAAGGGTGTGTTCCAATTATCGTGGGATCACACTCCTCAGCCTCCCTGGTAAGGTTTACTCCAAGGTACTGAAGTAGACCGTATCGGGCTTAGAAGTATTGTACTTCTATGCCGTCTGGACCAGCCGCACTGTTAGTTTTAAGCTCGTTCATAGCTTGTATTGAATCCAAATGTGAAATCTGATTAAAAGACAATGATGTCTCATGAACGTCATTTAGTGGATTAGGTAAGTATGTAAGATGGTAAAATGACCAGAGTGCTGTGTACTGGAGGAGAAATATTCATTAAAGTATTCAGAGATTAAGTTAAGATCAGTAATTTTAGTATTATTAACAGTAACATTAGTTTCTT